ACACATGTGGTACCGCAATGCAGAGGTCATGTGACACATGTGGTACCGCAATGCAGAGGTCATGTGACGCGTGTGTGGTACTGCGATGCAGAGGTCATGTGACGTGTGTGTGGTACCGCGATGCAGAGGTCATGTGACACATGTGGTACCGCAATGCAGAGGTCATGTGACGTGTGTGTGGTACCGCGATGCAGAGGTCATGTGACATGTGTGGTACCACGATGCAGAGGTCATGTGACGTGTGTGGTACCGCAATGCAGAGGTCATGTGACGCGTGTGTGGTACTGCGATGCAGAGGTCATGTGACGCGTGTGTGGTACTGCGATGCAGAGGTCATGTGACGCGTGTGTGGTACCACGATGCAGAGGTCATGTGACATGTGTGGTACCACGATGCAGAGGTCATGTGACGCGTGTGTGGTACCACGATGCAGAGGTCATGTGACGGCGGTAAAGCATGTGGATCCGGCTCAGTGCCGTGGTTTTTTCCCTCACTGATGAAGAGGGGGATGTTCTTTGGTGTTTTGCGGTTTTGTTTGACATTTGTAAGTTGTGTAATCGGCACCGCAGCATGACGCCCGTTCTCAGCAGCTCTGAATCCAATTAGAGTGTGTGTGTGTGTGTGTGAGAGAGATAAAGAGAGACAGAGAGTGTATGTGTTTGAGAGAGAGAGTGTGTGTGTGTGATAGAGAGAGAGAGAGGGAGAGTGTGTGGGTGTGTGTGTGTGTGTGCGCAAAGACAAGCACAACTTCCCTCTCATGCTCATCAGTAATGCCGGCATCATGAAAGGTCAACAACAAACATTTCTTGTCTGTGTTTTCTTGAACAAAACGCACAAAACAAAAACACTTGCACTGAGAGGCATGATGAAGTGATTATAGTGTGTGTGTGTGTGTGTGTGTGTGTGTGTTTTGTGTGCTAATGAGACTCTGGAACACAAGCCAGATTCAACACCTGCAGAGAGGGTGTGTGTGTGTGTGTGAGTGAGAGAGAGAGAGAGGGTGTGTGTGTGTGTGTGTGAGTGTGTGTGTGAGTGAGTGTGTGTGTGTGTGTGTGCGCGTGTGTGTGAGTGAGTGTGTTTGTGTGAGTGTGTGTGTGTGTGAGTGTGTGAGTGCACGTGTGTGTGAGTGAGTGTGTTTGTGTGAGTGTGTGTGTGTGTGTGTGTTCACAGCCCCCCGCTGCAGCAGAATGTGAGGAATGTTCTAGAGCGCCAGTTGCAGTCGGAGCTCAAAACTTATTACTAACAGGTGAGAGAATCTCAGGGCAACAACACAAGCTTCACCTGCAGAGAGAGAGTGTGTGTGTGTGTGTGTGTGAGAGAGAGAGAGTCAGGTGAACGTGTTGCTGCCTGTCTGCCAGATTCTGCTGAAGCGCGTCGATCGCTCACACACACACACACACACACACAGACACACGTCACGGCAGCGCAGGAATTCAAACACTTCATGCATCACAGCCACTCCACACGCACACACACACACACACACACACACACACACACACACCTCCTGTCATTGTCTCTTCACACTCATGTTTCTCACTGTGACTCTTGTGGCAGATTGTTCTCGCTGCTCTTTATACACTCAGTCGAAGTGAACAGTGAGTCCAGCGAACAGGGACCGTTCTGGCAAAGTTATGAACAAACCGTTTGGCCGAGTCCCTTCCCCGAGAGATCGTCAACTCCCACCTCCGGCGGAGCTTCGATGGATCCCGAGGGAGTCTGGAGACAGCGAGTCCGAGTGGACCATGTTCTCCCCCTCCATTATCGACGCGGCCGCCCAGAGCTGTGGCCGTAAGGTCGCCGGTGCCTGTCGAGGCGGCAATCCCCGATCCCGGACACCAGAAGTAAGGGATGCCGTCAAGCAAAATGGAGTCCTATTGGGCCCGGCTGGTGGAGGCAAAACATACCCGCCTCAGGAGGGGGAAGCAGTGCTTTACCAATAGAGTCAAGTCAAGTTCCCTTCATTTACATAGTGCTTTTAACAAACCAGCCATATCACCCTGTAGCCCGAGACTGGTCCCCCACTGAAGCTAAGCAGGGCTGAGCCTGGTCAGTACCTGAATGGGACACCTCCTGAGAAAACCAGGTTGCTGTTGGAAGAGGTGTTAGTGAGGCCAGCAGGGGGCGCTCACCCTGTGCTCTGTGTGGGTCCTAACACCCCAGAAGAGCGATGGGGACTACACTTTCAAAGAGCACTGTCCTTCGGATGAGACGTTAACTCTCTGTGGTCATTAAAAATCCCATGGCACTCTTGGTAAAGAGTAGGGGTTTAACCCTGGTGTCCTGGTCACACTCCCTCCAATGGCCCTTGTGGACTAACAATATGGACTCTTTCAAAGCAGCTTTACAGTGACAATACGAAATTACAATAACAGAGATAGTTTTGGCTTTACAGCAGCTCTAGAATAAAGTTATTGTGCAGGAGCTGGGCAGCTGTTGACCTCAACTGGGGATATCGTCGGTCGGTGGAAGGAATACTTCAAGGATCTCCTCAATCCCGCCGTCACCTCTTCCATTGAGGAAGCAGAGGCCGAGGACTCGGAGGGGGATTCGTCCATCACCCAAGCTGAAGTCACCAAGGTAGTCAAGAAGCTCCTCGGTGGCAAGATCCGCCCTGAATACCTCAAGACTCTGGATGTTGTGGGATTGTCTTGGCTGACACGCCTCTGCAACATCGCGTGGCGGTCGGGGACAGATGGGGTGGTGGTCCCTCTTTTCAAGAAAGAGGACCGGAGGGTGTGTTCCAACTACAATGATACACTTGTTAGTCTGTTGGCCAAAGGAGAACTGGCCACCCGACTGAGCCTGGGTTCTCCCACGGTTTTTCTCTGTTCTGCCACTGATGGAGTTTTGGTTCCTTCACTGTCACCTTCTCCACTTTTGTTGCCATTGGCTTGGCTTGCTCAGCTGGGGACATTACAATTTTTTCTGTTATCAATATTTGTATATTTAGTTATCTCTGTAAACACTCTGTATTGTAAAAAGCGTTATATAAATAAATGTGACTTGACTTGATACTCCTCAGCCTCCCCGGGAAAGTCTATGCCAGGGTACTGGAGTGGAAAATACGGCCGATAGTGGAACCTTCGGATTCAGGAGGAACAGTGCGGGTTTCGTCCGGGCCGTGGAACACTGGACCAGCTCTATACTCTCTACAGGGTGCAGGAGGGTTCATGGGAGTTTGCCTAACCATTCCACATGTGCTTTGAGGATTTGGAGAAGGCATTCGACTGTGTCCCCCGAGGCGGCTTGTGGAGGGTGCTCCGGGAATATGGGGTCCGGGGTCCTTTGCTAAGGGCTGTCCGGTCCCTGTACCAGAGCAGGAGCTTGGTTCGCATTGCCGGTAGTAAGTCAGACTTGTTCCCGGTGCATGTTGGACTCCGGCAGGGCTGCCCTTTGTCGCCGGTTCTGTTCATCATTTTATGGACAGAATTTCTAGGCGCCGCCAGGGGCCGGAGGGCGTCAGGTTTGGGGACCACACAATTTCGTCTCTGTTCTTTGCGGATGATGTTGTCGTGTTGGCCCCTTCATACCAGGACCTTCAGCATGCACTGGGACGGTTTGCAGCCGAGTGTGAAGCGGCTGGGATGAAGATCAGCACCTCCAAATCCGAGGCCATGGTCCTCAGTCGGAAAAGGGTGGCTTGCCCACTACAGGTTGGTGGAGAGATCCTTCCTCAAGTGGAGGAGTTTAAGTATCTTGGGGTTTTGTTCACGAGTGAGGGAAGGATGGAACGGGAGATTGACAGACGGATCGGTGCAGCTTCTGCAGTAATGCGGTCGATGTACCGGTCTGTTGTGGTGAAGAAGGAGCTGAGCCGTAAGGCAAAGTTCACGATTTACCGGTCAATCTACGTTCCTACTCTCACCTATGGTCATGAGCTTTGGGTCATGACCGAAAGGACAAGATCCCGGATACAGGCGTCTGAAATGAGCTTCCTCCGCAGGGTGGCTGGGCGATCCCTTAGAGATAGGGTGAGAAGCTCGGTCACTCGGGAGGAGCTCAGAGTAGAGTAGCTCCTCCACACCGAGAGGGGTCAGCTGAAGCGGCTCGGGCATCTGTTCTGGACGCCTCCCCGGGGAAGTGTGGCTCAGGCTTGTTCCGGATTTGGAACCTAGGACATGCTGGAGGGATTATGTCTCCCGGCTGGCCTGGGAACGCCTCGGTGTCCCCCCGGAAGAGCTGGAGGAAGGGTCTAGGGAGAGGGAAGTCTGGAAGACTGCTGCCCCCGGCCCCGGATAATGGATGGATCTGGTCTATAATAATGTTCTCAAAACATTATTTACATTTGGAATGTTCAACCAAACATCTTGTTTTCTGAGGAAGGAAAGTCATGCGGGTTTGAATCAACATGTTGTAAGTCATGTTTCCACTAGTGATTCAGTGATTGTCCTGATAAAGTGATGAATCAGATGCTGGTTTTCCTCTGAAATCCCTTTAAAACCCTGAGACACGGATCCCACACTGAGAGCTGGAGTCTCTCTCACACACACACACACACACAGATCCGGAGATTCTGACCTAAACACACACACACACACTCACTCAAACATACTGACTCACACATACACACACACACAATTTCGCACAAACTCACTATCAGTCACTCTCTCACTCATTCTCTCATGCAAACACTATCACTCACTCTCTCTCTCTTACACACACACACACACACCTCATGTCTGACCCGCCCCCTAACACACACACTCTCACACACACACCTCATGTCTGACCCGCCCCAAAACACACACACACACACACACACACACTGGTGCTGGGCAGCGACTGAAGCATACGGCTCCACTCCTTGAGTGTTTGAGAGCAGGCGGACATACGTTGTGTTTCTTCTGTCGGTGTGTGTGTGTGTGTGTGTGTGTGTGTTGGTGATGTCATTGTTTAACTCCAGCAGGTCATAACAGGGGAATCATCGGTTGATCATCATCTGAGATCCTTCACACACGCAGACGCTCAGAAACCGTGAGTTACAGTCGCCTCTCCACTTCTGCAAGCTCTATAACTATAGCTATAACTGGCTCTTCCCGCTTCTCTCGGAAATCTCGGATTTGTTGGGAATGTTATTTATGTAAACGGGGAATTTGGTTTCTTGAGGACGTGCTGTTTTTACTGCGTCTGTTCGTTTGGCATAAAACAGAGGAGGCATTTAAGACTTTATTAGAGTCAGGTGGTATCAGACTCTCTCTCTCACACACACACACACACACTCTCTCTGTCTCTCTCTCTCTCTCTGGTGTTCTGGACCCAGTGAACTACATTGTTCTGTGATTGTGCGCCAGTTTCTGGCTTGATTGCTCGCCATCGGTGCGAAACCGGCCAGAGAGAGTCCAGAACATTCAGCAGAGACAGGAACCACTGATCCAGCGAACAAGGAACGCTATAAAGTTAGTAGAACACTTTTAACCCTCTGCTGCTCTTCGTTTGACGGTCAAAAATGACAACAAAACAGTTTTTTATTATTATATTGTATTATAATTGTATTAATATTCCTTAATATTTTGTATTATTAGGGGATTTTATGGCATTAAATTATATTTACGCAGTATTCATAATCCTTTTATTCACTTTTGGAGCAAAGACCCACAAATTACATTTCCAAGTTTGACGTGACACTCGGCAGATTATTGATGATGTGAGAAAAAAGTTTTAAAACTTGGAAAGTTTAGAAATTTAGATAAATAATGTTCACAGCTCCATTAAACCTTCAGATCATGGACATGATGTTTGTGTGTGTTCTCACAGCAAGTGCCAAAACCTTTACCAAGTTTCGTAACATTCCAATGAAGTAAAAAAATTAAAAACGTAAAGATTTTCGAAGAGCACCAGAGGGTTTAATATTACTACTAGTTTGAGAACATTCAAGAATGATACAATGGAATGTTCCTTTAACGTTAAATTAAAAAATATAACCTGGATGTCAGAGAACCTTTTCATAACTTAATGATGGTGTTAGCAAAACATTCTTAGCACACATTTTGTTAGCTGGGAAAACTTTTTATCTCATAAACGCAGTTAATAGAAGCAGCACGCACTGAGGCTCTTGATCTCCGATGATTTCCAGCGTTACTGTTGTGTTTTCAGGGATCGTGATGTGGCCGCGCGTTCTGCTAGCGTGTTTGCTGCTGGAGTTCTGCTGCGCGGCTCCACACGCTCACATCAACCGGCTCGCGCTCTTCCCCGACAAGAGCGCCTGGTGTGAAGCCAAGAACATCACGCAGATCGTGGGACACACGGGCTGCACGCCACGATCCATACAAAACAGGTCACACACACACACACACTCTTAATGTTGTCCAGTTTAGGGAATTCTTGAACATTTCTCTGTGTGTTCGTTTGACCAAAGTAAACATTTGTTGCTTTTTTGCCAATGGGGTAAGAAAAATAGTCATAATTCTAACAGAAAAATATATAGATATTTTTCTTACACCATTAGCAGATAATGTTGCTTTTGTTCATTTATTTCGATATTTGGACTGGAAACCCTAAGTAAGAAAAGCATTACACTCTTAATATTGTTCAGTTTAGGGAATTCTGGAACATTTCTCTGTGTTGGTTTGACCTAATTAAACATTAGCCTTATGAAATGCTGCGATACTTGAGCAGCGCAACGATTGCAGATTATCATCTGTTGTGTTTGCTTGTGTGTTGTGTTTTTCAGGGCCTGTCTGGGTCAGTGTTTCAGCTACAGCGTTCCCAACACATTCCCACAGTCCACCGAGTCTCTGGTCCATTGTGACTCCTGCATGCCGGCGCAGACACAGTGGGAGGTGGTGAGTGTGTCTCGTTACACACACGCTGAGTTTGACAACGACACACACACTTATGAGCCGCACTGCTGCACAACAGTTCAGAGGACTGAAATAGTGAAAACTGCAAAAGTGCTGTGAGTAAATGATAACATTTGTGCCGCAGTAGTGAAAACGACAGATCTTATGTTTGTGGTAAGAGTGAAAACGACAGATCGTATATTTGTAGTAATAGTGAAAACGACAGATCGTATATTTGTAGTAATAGTGAAAACGACAGATCGTATATTTGTAGTAATAGTGAAAACGACAGATCGTATATTTGTAGTAATAGTGAAAACGACAGATCTTATATTTGTAGTAATAGTGAAAACGACAGATCGTATATTTGTAGTAATAGTGAAAACGACAGATCGTATATTTGTAGTAATTGTGAAAACGACAGATCTTATATTTGTAGTAATAGTGAAAACGACAGATCGTATATTTGTGGTAATAGTGAAAACGACAGATCGTATATTTGTGGTAATAGTGAAAACGACAGATCTTATATTTGTGGTAATAGTGAAAACGACAGATCGTATATTTGTAGTAATTGTGAAAACGACAGATCTTATATTTGTAGTAATAGTGAAAACGACAGATCGTATATTTGTGGTAATAGTGAAAACGACAGATCTTATATTTGTAGTAATTGTGAAAACGACAGATCTTATATTTGTAGTAATTGTGAAAACGACAGATTTCATATTTGAAGTAACTGTGAAAACGACAGATCTTGTATTTGTAGTAATAGTGAAAAAGACAGATTTCATATTTGTAGTAATTGTGAAAACAACAGATCTTATATTTGTAGTAATAGTGAAAACGACAGATTTCATATTTGTAGTAATAGTGAAAACGACAGATTTCATATTTGTAGTAATTGTGAAAACGACAGATTTCATATTTGTAGTAATAGTGAAAACGACAGATTTCATATTTGTAGTAATAGTGAAAACGACAGATTTCATATTTGTAGTAATAGTGAAAACGACAAATTTCATATTTGAAGTAACTGTGAAAACGACAGATTTCATATTTGTAGTAATAGTGAAAACGACAAATTTCATATTTGAAGTAACTGTGAAAACGACAGATTTCATATTTGTAGTAATTGTGAAAACGACAGATTTCATATTTGTAGTAATAGTGAAAACGACAAATTTCATATTTGAAGTAACTGTGAAAACGACAGATTTCATATTTGTAGTAATTGTGAAAACGACAGATTTCATATTTGTAGTAATAGTGAAAACGACAGATTTCATATTTGTAGTAATAGTGAAAACGACAGATTTCATATTTGTAGTAATAGTGAAAACGACAGATTTCATATTTGTAGTAATTGTGAAAACGACAGATTTCATATTTGTAGTAATAGTGAAAACGACAGATCTTATATTTGTAGTAATAGTGAAAACGACAGATTTCATATTTGTAGTAATAGTGAAAACGACAGATTTATATTTGTAGTAATAGTGAAAACGACAGATCTTATATTTGTAGTAATAGTGAAAACGACAGATTTCATATTTGTAGTAATAGTGAAAACGACAGATTTCATATTTGTAGTAATAGTGAAAACGACAAATTTCATATTTGAAGTAACTGTGAAAACGACAGATTTCATATTTGTAGTAATTGTGAAAACGACAGATTTCATATTTGTAGTAATAGTGAAAACGACAAATTTCATATTTGAAGTAACTGTGAAAACGACAGATTTCATATTTGTAGTAATAGTGAAAACGACAGATTTCATATTTGTAGTAATAGTGAAAACGACAGATTTCATATTTGTAGTAATAGTGAAAACGACAGATTTCATATTTGTAGTAATAGTGAAAACGACAGATTTCATATTTGTAGTAATTGTGAAAACGACAGATTTCATATTTGTAGTAATAGTGAAAACGACAGATCTTATATTTGTAGTAATAGTGAAAACGACAGATTTCATATTTGTAGTAATAGTGAAAACGACAGATCTTATATTTGTAGTAATAGTGAAAACGACAGATCTTATATTTGTAGTAATAGTGAAAACGACAGATCTTATATTTGTAGTAATAGTGAAAACGACAGATTTCATATTTGTAGTAATTGTGAAAACGACAAATCTTATATTTGTAGTAATAGTGAAAACGACAGATTTCATATTTGTAGTAATAGCGAAAACTAAAAAATCATATTGAAAATGGTAGAAATTGTAGAAATACTGAATCCAAAATTGAGCATTTTTTCCTATTCCAGTACAAATATGATCATGTAGTTGCAATATAGATTGAGTTATAATCCAATTTTCACTTTTGCAAATTGTCCCAAATTTCATAAATATTGTGACTAACTGATCGTCTACTGCACACTACAGAAGTCCCGCCGCTCGCGGGGTGTGTGTGTGTGTTAGCTTCTCGTCCGCCGGAGTGATGAATGTGGCGTGTGGCGCACTGTAACACAAGAGCTGCAACTAAACCACAAATACCTATTTAACATCCGCGCAATGATGGATGGACTAGCGAGAGACTCTTTATGAGGCGTGTTGAAAGACAACAAACACACTCATCAGTCTTGCACAGAGACCACAGCATGTTTTAACCGAGTGTGTGTGTGTGTGTGTGTGTGTTTACAGTATTTAGCAGCGGGCTTTAGTTCTGCCCTCTAGTGTTGAAGTTTATTTAGCTTTGCCTGGCAGACGACGGAATGTTTGACCACAGTGTGTGTGTGTGTGTGTGTGTGTGAGATGTCAGCATATGAAAGTAATGTCTTTGTTTGGCCTGGTTCTCACCCGTGGAGATCTGAGAATCGCTGTATTGACGTTAACTGAACATTGTGATGCACAAAGAATGTTGGACTTGAAAAGCTTTTGCTATATTTACGTGCTAACATCATGTTCTGGTTCTCTGTCAGCGTTAGCCGCGGACTCAAAGGGGCCGCCCTCTGCTACTTATTATGTTCTTTTAAACAATCTGGTTTTGATAGAGAGCAGTTCATGTTCGGTGAGTTAAACAGACTGAGGCTCGTGTTGACAAAGACCTGCAGTAATGTGACAGAACCTGATCTGACCCTGAACGCTCACTTACAGTAGACTAGCGTTAGCCTGACGCTACACAGTGTGCTAACCAGAGCCACGCAGAGTCTCATTTATAACACTGATGTAATGAATTCATTTCAGAATTCACTCTTTCTTTTTCCAGGAGTGTTTTACTGTTTGTTTCTAGCAGATAAAAATATAATCTAAGAATGTTTTGTTATAAAAACGTTATTTCTGAATGCTCTAAATATCGTTCCGTTGTATCATTCTTCAAACGTTATGGAAACTTTAATTTTGAACGTTCTGAAACAAGAAACTAAAAAACACATTCCCTGTACACTGTATGAATAATGTTTTTATGCTAATGTTTTGAGAACATTATTACACACCAGATCACTTTGAACATTTGTTCTATTAGACGTTTGTTTATAGCATTGAAAGATCAACGTGTGATCGTCAAGTCAACCAGTGGATCTCGGAGTGAGTTAGTGAGTGGAGGCGGGGCTCATCTGCATATTCATAGAACTGCGCATACTAAATGAGGCAAGGGTGTCGGGTTACATTCACGATATTTTAAGGCATGAAGACATTTTTTCAAGGAAAAAGCTTTTAAATATGTAATTTTGGTGATCAAAGATGAGTTTTAAAGGATAAAATTATTAACAACAACATCATTCTTGAAGCAAAAAGTCTGTTTTTTCTGTTGCAGACACTCAAAAGTTGTCATGCATTTTGACACTTTCATCTAGCCGTGTATTACCATAAAAAGACTCTTAACTGTGTGCAAGACGTGTTGTTCTCTTCATTTGCATTACATTTATTCATTTAGCAGAGGCTTTTATCCAAATGAGGAGAGAACAAGCGTTGTGGCCAAGCAGAACCTGCCCGTCTCTCTCCTGAGCCAACCCTGAGTGTGTGATCCTGCAGTTCCTCCTCTGGCCACTAGAGGCGCTGCAGGAGAGACTCACTCCCATAGAGCCGCATGTTAAACTGCCCAACTGTACAGCAGAAACACATGTTCACAGTCTGCTGTTGAAGTGCTGTTGGTCTATATCGCTAATGTTGCCCTTCATGACGACTGTGAGCGGGGATTTACGTATTATAACTCATACGTTTAAATTATATTAAGCCTTAAAGCTCTGCATAATTAAGGGCGTGGCCACTTGAGTGACAGGTGGATTGCCGCTGATGTCACTGCTAGCCGTTTGTCTGCTAAAGTTACCTAATCCGCCTCGCCGCACATGTTCGTTTATCCGTGAGTGACGCGCGGCCAAGATGGCGACGGCTGGCTCCGCCCACTTTGGGCTTCAGAAACACTACAGTCGGGTGACATCACACACTCTACACACGTTTATTTACAGTCTATGATTGTGTCACTCCAGTATGACCTCAAATCGCCTCAGATTTCCAACTCTCACCGATCAGGTCATGCTGACTGCGTGTGTGTGTGTGTGTGTGTGTGTGTGCGCAGGTGACCCTGGACTGCGCCGACAGTGATGAGGCCCCGCGCGTGGATAAGCTAGTGGAGCGGATCCTGCACTGCAGCTGCCAGTCGTGCAGTAAAGACAGCGGCCAGGAGGGGGCGCTAGTGCAGATCTACCCGTCAGAGCTGTCAGACGACACACACACACACGCGCATTCAGACACACTACCACCCGAGGGCGGGTGACGCCCATCTCTCGCTCTGTTCAAAGCACTTTTACACGTAGAGATCATGACACTAATCCAGACTTTAGCACAATCACTGAAGCCTCATTCAGCTCTGTGAATACACACACACACACACACTCCACTTTATATTACTGACGCATTTACACACCACCAGATCTATATATACACCTAATGTAGCCTACAGGAGCACATGTGTGTCACTTATGTACAATTGTTTAATCACAATAAAATGTGAAATCACCTCGCGTGTGAATGCTTCTTCTTAAACACCGCCGTTCAAACTTCCGGATCCGGAACATTTTTTTATTAAAAATACAGTAAAAACAGTAATATTGTGAAAAATTATGAACATTTTAAATGTCTCTTGTAATGTAATTAATCTTTTATAACATATAAATGTCTTTACTGTCACTTTTGATTCATTTAATTAATCATTAAAGATGAATAAAGGTATTTATTTATTTGATTTATTTCCTTTTTTTAACTTTTTAAATCAAATAAGCGCAGCCTTGGTGAGCAGAAGAGACTTCTTTTAAAAACATAAAAACTTGCCGATCCAGGAGACTGGTAGTGTACATCACAGCAGCGTAATGTTATGCATTCGCAACAAAAAGCATATTTTTATTTATGAAGCGTTTTTCACAACACTTGTCAACAATCCTCCTTTAAAGCCCCAGTGAGCGAGTCAAATGTCGCACACACAGTAATGGTTTATGAGTAATAATTGGTGTATGTCCTGCTTTGATGCAGTTACAGTGATTTTCAGATGGAAAGGCCAGTGTTTGCCATGGTAACCGCTTTCTGACACACATTTACAAGGAAATTGCAGGAAGAACAAGAGCTTGTGTGTGTTATAAAGCCAAGAAACACACACACACACACACACACACTTGATCATGAGCACTTTCCTCTGACTTCTGTTGTGTTAGTTTGGAACATTTTTTCATCCTCACACAAACATTTCAGCATTTCTCCATTATTATTATATTTTGACGCCATGCTTCGGTTGACCAGCAGGTGGCGCTGTGAGCATGTGTGTGTTTTTTGGACAGAACTTTTCAACTGATTTTGTCTTTTTCCATCCGCTCTGCATTTTTAGAGAAAAAGTATATACATATGGACGACATTCATATATGTTTGGCCCATTTCCCCCCCTTTTGTGTTTGTTATTAGCCTTTAGATAGGTTAGCGCTGCATTTTCTGTCAAGCTTCATCACAGAGTGCTTACAAACTAAAAATGTCTTGTGATCAGAACACTTATTAGCTTCACTGTAAGCCATTAGCTCCAACACAGCCAACTTAGAAAGTCACGACTCAAAGAAAATCGTGAGCTTCCACAGTGATAATTATGTTCTCGTGAGGCGGGGAGTCTTCATCTCATGTTGTGTTGCAGAGTTTGCTTTGTTTCCTCTGAAATAAACCCTTATTAAAGGAGTAGTTCACTTTTGAAAAAACTTTTGCTGATAATTTACTCACCCCCGTGTCATCCAAGATGTCCATGCCTTTCTTTCCTCAGTCGAAAAGAAATTTAGGTTTTTGTTGAAAACATTCCAGGATTTTTCTCCATATAATGGACTTCAATGGGAACCGGATGGTTCAAGGTCCGAAAGACAGTGTTAATAACAGTTTCAGATGCAGCTTCAAATGTCTTTAAACGATATCAGACGATGAATAAGGGTCTTATCATGCGAAACGATCGCTTATTTCAATGCTTATTCCAAAAATGTAACTTTTCTAAGGAGAAATGCTAGCCTTTCTCTATTCTGTGAGGCGCGTTTGTAACGTCACGTAATACGTAATTACGTTCAAAAGGTCACAGGCGACGTAGCCGGAAGTACATAAGCGATCGTTTCGCATGATAAGACCCTTATTCATCGTCTGGTGTCGTTTAAAGACATTTGAAGCTGCATCTGAAACTGTTATTAACTGTGTTTTGGACCTTGAACCGTTTGGTTCCCATTGAAGTCCATTATATGGAGAAAAATCCTGGAATGTTTTCAACAAAAACCTAAATTTCTTTTCGACTGAGGAAAGAAAGGCATGGACATCTTGGATGACACGGGGGTGAGTAAATTATCAGCAAAAGTTTTTTCAAAAGTGAACTACTCCTTTAAATCCTAAAGTCCTGAATGATTGATGATTATTATCAGACATGTATCTCAGCTAACAGGAAACGTTCTGAGAATATTCTCTCAAAGTTACTTCCAGTAGCTAACATTAATAGAACGCTGTTTTTAAAATGTTAGCACAAAAATAATTATACATCGTTGATGGTGCATTTTAGTTTGACATTCATGAACATTCAAAAAGTAACGTTACCACCCAGACAGTAACAGACGGGCCAGATACGGGCTACATCCGGTGCATGTGGAATCCAGGATTTGGGCCGGATCTGGGCCGACAGTATGTTGCTGTCTGGGCATAACCAAGAAAAAAACTAAATGGTTTGAACTGTTAACAATCAGAAACAATGTTTTCATAACTTAATGGAAATATTAGCAAAACGTTATTAGAAAGGTTATTTCGACATTCTTACAAACTTTTACCACAAAATTTCTTCAAAAGTACCACAGTTACTACAGTAAATCTTGATATTTACGTTACCATTTATTTAAAAAAAGAAATTGAACCTTTTATCCATCCGTGTCCTCAGAGCTCTGCCCATCTCTCTCTCTCTCTCTCTCTCTCTCTCTCTCTCTCTCTCTCTCTCTCTCTCTCTCTCTCTCTCTCTCTCTCTCTCTCTCTCTCAGTGTGATGTTTGTATCCTCTGGATAACGGGATAAAGTCACCTCAGCTGCTCTACATCAGGTAAGACGCTGAAAACTTCTTCCTGTATTGCTGTAATCTCTGAGTTTTGTTATTACAGCTCTTTTCTCAAACTGTTGTTCTCGCTCCGACGACACGGATCCAGTGGATGTTCGGGTGTTCAAGCACACTGTGTCCCAATATGAGCATCTCGGACGCATTCGCTTTCCGGTCAGTTTAATCGATTCCGTTAAAATACCGTTAACTCGGAACGCGCCAAAAAGACGCTTAAATAAAGCGCGCGAAAAGTGTTTGTTCAGTTCTGATCTGATTCTCAAATCTTTGTTCATGATGTGTCCAGACTAACTAGAGATAATCAATCAATCAGTCAATCACACAGTTGCATGTGTATAAACGACATCGTCAGGTTTTGATTTTAACGAAATCTCAAAGAACTCTGTTTATTGAAATAAAATATAGTGCTACAGTAGTGAAATCAGTTAAATCAAATGTACTTTTATGTTGTTTATTGAGGCAACGCCCTCAAGTAAAGGCTTGGAAAAAAACGTTTTTGAAGATGTTTGGGTTGTCTTATCATTCATAAAAAACAAAACATTCAATTCTAAAATATCTTAATTACCATTAAAGGGTTAGTTCACCCAAAAATGAAAATTAAGTCATTAATTACTCACCCCCATGCTGTACCAACCCCGTAAGACCTTCGTTCGTCTTCGGAACATAAATGAAGATATTTTTGATTAAATTTGAGAGCTGGATCACTACCACATTGGCTCCTAAGGGACTGCCTCTTGACGGCCCAGAAAGTCAATGAAGAAAATGTTTAAATATCCCAAGTGACTACCGTGGCTCAACTATATGTTTATCAAGCGACGCGAATACTTTTTGTGCGAAAAAACAAACAAAAATAACGAGTTTATTTGAGTATTTCTTTTCTTCCTTGTAGGCCAGAAACGAGACTTCCTTAGATTTCCACGACGCATGCGCGAGAATTGCGATCTGCTTACACTACTTCAGATCGCAATTCTCGCGCATGCGTCGTGGAAATCTAAGGATCCATTTTCTTCATTAACTTTCTGGGCCGTCAAGAGGCAGTCCCTTAGGAGCCAATGTGGTAGTTATACAGCTCTCAAATTTAATCAAAAATATCTTCATTTGTGTTCCGAAGACGAACAAAGGTCTTACGGGGTTGGTACAGCATGGGGGTGAGTAATTAATGACTTAATTTTCATTTTTGGGTGAACTAACCCTTTAACCTAAAATCACTTCAAGCCTTGCTTTATTAATGAGTTTGATCTTATGTTTCATGTTGTGTATCTGTGGACAGAAACATTGATCTGTTGTCGCTCATCTGTATCTTTATTTTCATAGATGTTATCTCAATATATTGTGTTTGTTCCTTTATGTCTTTGTTCAGAAAAATTGTAAAAAAAAGAAAAGTTTTTACATTTCTGAGACTGACTGACTCGAATCTGCTATTTGTAGTCTGCAAAAAACAACATTAATATAAGTGAAAGTAAATGTGTATACATGTACAGTCAGATGTTTTTTTCCATCATTCAGGAAAGGGTCTCTTTATAATATCTAATTATAATATCGTTCACATCAGTAGCATCTCCAGCTAGGTTTTATTAGCATGACAACAAAAACAGGACAGAGCTGAATAAGGTCCGTTCACACCAAGAACAATGACTTAGGGTTCAACACCAATTTATAATCGTTACGGTTAGTGTGGTCTTCACTATTCAATCAGAGTTTTGGGCTGTTCACATCAAGAATGATAACTACAACGATAACTACATTACTGTCCGCGATATCGTTCTGTTTATTATAAGCGCGCTGCAGTTTTTTCGTCTGTCGCTTTCAATGCCTGAGCTCTTCAAAGCAGGATCCCAGATAGCAAACTGACATTGAATCAACGTGGAAATATGACATCGAAACAACGTTGATCTGACATTGTTTTGCTCATCGAATTAACGTTGAACCAACGTCAGACGCGTCATTCTTTCAAAAGTAACGGAAAATCAACTTGAAATCAACGCGTTGTTTCAACGTTATGAAAGCAAACCAATTTTTGATTTTCATTTAGCTTTGAAGAATGCCGCGTCTGACGTTGGTTCAACGTTAATTCGATGAGCAAAATCAACGTTGTTTCAATGTCATGAGAGACGTCGTTTCCACGTTGATTCAATGTCAGTTTGCTGTCTGGGATGGATTCTGATTGGCTGTCAATGTTTTTATGGTTCATCTGTGGGGAAAAAATCGTTCTGAACATGTATCGTATTTATATTTGTGTGTACTTCTTTTAAATGTTGATATAGTTTTACAGCTATATCTTTAGTTGTATTGTTATAGGTCTGAATAAAACTACAAATACAAAAAGCTTGTCAATAATTATTTAAAAAAAGCCACTTTTACTAACATCATGTGAAAAAGCCCGCTGGCACTCGTCACTTGCTGGCGCTATAACTGAGTCTGATTGGTCTCGAAAATTGGCATGCGTTGTCTTAAACGGATGAGTTATAATAAATCCCCGCTCACAGTCGTCATGAAGGGCAGCATTAGCGATATAGACCAACAGCACTTCAACAGCAGACTGTGAACATGTGTTTCTGCTGTACAGTTGGGCAGTTTAACATGCGGCTCTATGGGAGTGAGTCTCTCCTGCAGCGCCTCTAGTGGCCAGAGGAGGAACTGCAGGATCACACACTCAGGGTTGGCTTTAAGAGAGGGACTGCGAGGCTTGTGCTTAGTGTGAACAAACTACTGTTTCAACATTAACATGTGTGTGTGTGTGTGTGTGTGTGTGTGTTGAGGATGTGTGGCATGGCGGTGCTGTTAGATGACGGTGGCTGTGATGAAGACTTTGACGTGTGTGATGGGGTCCGGATGCTCGCTCCTCCTCCTGTGGCGCAGTGTGACGGTGGGGTGTGGGGGCCTCGACGGGGCCGATGCGAGTGTGTGTTGTGGACGCTGGTCCTGCTGCTGTGGGACGTTCTGCTGCTGCTGGTGTGTGTGGGGCTGATGGTCCTGGTGTTCAGTCTGATTCTGCTGCCCGCCGGCCTGCTGCTGTACGCCGGCTTTCTGTGCCACTCGCGGGTACGTATACACACACACACACACACGAACACATAAAAGTGCATCTGTCCATCATAAAAGTGCTCCACATGGCGCAGCAAGGGAGAGTAATCATGGGCTAATTTTCATTTTTGGGTGAACTGTCCCTTTAAGCACGCAGAATAATGCAAGTTAACTTTTCTTTTGTAATCGCGAGGTTTTTGAACTATTACGTAATCGCGATTGTAAATTGGGTGAACTGTGCAGTGATGTCCTGATCTCCGACAGGTGGTGGCGTCTTCGGCTCCTCTCTGCCAATACCTGGACGACAACAGTTGCTCCGCCCTCATCATCCTGGGCTTCGTCATGATGTCACCGCTTGTTGTGGTTGCTGCGGCGACGTTCTGCGCTCTTCTCAGGAGGCTCCACCTACTTTTATATTTTCAGCCAATCACAGGAGCCCGGTACCAAGGGCGGGGCTTGTGCTGGAGGCGGGACTTCCACGCCTGGGTTTGACGGACAGGCACACACACCGATCTCAGGAGTGAGTGACGTCATGGGACAGCGACGGCGCATCTGTAAATGTAACACACTCCGAACCGAGGATTATGTGTTTCAGACAAACGAATCTTTTCACGTGGCCGAGAAATGAATAAGAAATTCAAGAAGCAGTGTTACCGAGAACTAGTAAAATCGGCTAACACTTTTGTGTCCTTGTTACATGCACTTACCGTAGTAATATCAGTAAATTATGCATAATTACGTTCAACTAACCCTAATCCTACCCTAACCCTATAGTAAGTACATGCAGTTAATTATTATTATATTATATACTTCAGTGTTACCGAACTGGTGTTACGGCGGTGTGTAGGGTTAGCCCGTGGATGTTGATGTGTACATCTGTGTGTAATGTGAATAAACCGCTGAAATCAAGCCTGTGGTGGACTTCATTTCCACATCGGATCCGTCCCACGAGATGAAAATATCTGGTTATTATAAATGCATGAGGCTCGGATTAGTTCTGCTATATAGGGCACGCTAACACTCTCGAGAACCGTAACTTCCAGAGTTGTTCTTGGAGAGTTGGAGATCTGCATATGCAAAACCCTTATCGACCCAGTGTACACTGTGATTTATCACCGTGGCAACAGGCAGCGGCTGGACCTTTGCCATGGCAACGTAATGGGACGAGCGAGTGTCGAGGTAATGACAAATAATGACGAGAGAGAGAGATGGACAGAACGTATGGAGAGCAAGAGTTCCAGCTGAAAGAGTTCCACATGCCGTTAGTTAATCGGCTCATGATGTTCCACACACACGTGTTTTTAAATATCTGCTCATTCGTAGCGACCAAGACTATCAAACTCTAAAACAGGACTAAAAGCTTCATAATATATAGTCCATGTGACTCGAGTCATTCCTGCTCTTTTAAACTCTTTAGATTGTAAACAGCAAAAACAATTAAAGTCTCGCTGTGGTGAGAGTCCAGCTTTTAATGTTGTTTATGTGTGTATTTGTTGTGTTTAATATGCTTTAAGACACACTGTGTGTAAAGTCGACAGTATTTCCTCCAGTGAACCAATCAGATCAACGTGTGAACGAGTGAGTGGAGGCGGGGCTCATCTGCATATTCATAGAACTGCAAATACTTAATGAGGCGAGGGTGTCGAGTTACACTCAAGATATTTTAAGACATTTTGGTGATCAAAGATGAGTTTTAACTATTGACTACAGGGGGACCTCGATATCTTCTCCTGTAAATGTATCTTGATTTAAAGGTGCAGTGTGTAATTTTCAGGAATGCAATATCATAAACATAACTGTGTGTTCAGTGGTGTATAAAGAGCTTACGTAATGAGGCTCATTAGCTTATAATGAGGCGTTTCTCTCTACACACACCGCGTTTCGTCACTGTGTTGTTCTTCGTGTAAAGCTAAACTTACACACTGCACCTTTAAGAATGTCAGGATATCTGTGACAGCAATAATTATGTAATTATGATCATTATGACACAGTAAAGCTCTTAATGTCTCTGTTACAGTCTCTGGGTTAGAGTGGCATTAGAAAATGACCAACTCTGCAGATTTAGATGGTGTGGATGTGATCGGCAGTGTTAACGCATCACAAGTTATGTAATCAGATTACTTCTTTCAAGTAACTAGTGAAGTAACGCATTACTTTTACATTTTAAACAAAATATCTGAGTTACTTTTTCAAATAAGCAACACAAGTAACTATTCCCCGTGTATGACTGTCATCTGTCCTGTCCAGTGTTGAGGAATCACGGGTAAGTGCATGATGGGTACTGTAGTTCCAGACTCGTGTGAGCGTTCTGACACGAACACACATTCAGTATTCCTCAGTGTGACTAAAAACAGTGAAATACAAACTCAGAGTATCACACAAACCTGCTATAATAAAACATGTTAAATCACACAAATATTCTTTATGTTTTTATTATTCGAAATCTTTACCGCTGACCTTCAGTTATATGACTTGCAGACCAATGTGGTAAAAAGCTCTTTTATCTGTGACTTTAGCATCGATAAAAATCACATTTGTGCTTCCTTTTTGTATTTTTATTGCTAAAGTAAGATCCAGATCATTCACTACACTTCTGCACTACAAGCCCAGCCCAGGGCACAAATGTAACGGTCACTGTATAGCTCTGCACTACATTGCCCAGAATCCTCTCTGGCGCACCTGCAGTCACTCTCCCCAGTATTCTGATCACCTGCACCTGTTCCAATCAGCAACCAGTTCCATTACATTCAGTCTGGGTCAAGCCTCCATTATCCATGTCTCACGAAGTCTCGTATGCTGTCTCGTATACTCACCTCCGTCCTTGTTCTGATGTTCCCAAAATCTTGGTCTGAATGCGTGTATCCTGAGACCCTGTAGTCCTCCTGAGTTCAGCTTGCTTGTGGCTGCATCTGAAAGACAAAAGACAAGTATCTCTGAACGGTGTTTGTTCGACAGTGGATAAACTGAAGAGGATCTGCTCACCTAGAACCCTTCCCGCACCGTCATCTTCACCGAATTCACCCTTGAACTTGGAAAAACTCACCTTTAAACTTGATTCTCATTAATAAAGCTTTGTGTTGATTCACTTACCTCTGTATCCTGACAACAAAAGGTAAGGCAAAAGTAATCTAACACATTACTTTAAAAAAAGTAACTAGGTAACTCGATCAGTTACTTTTTTAGGGAGTAACACAAAGTAGTAAAGGTAGTAAAGTAACTTTCCCCAAAAATGGCGATCGGTTTGTGCCGAGGAGAGAGATTTGTACACAAATGAAAAAAGAGAGTTGTGCCTGAACGATGTTGTGAGTGGTTGCTAGGGTGTTGCTATGTTTTTGAAGTGGCACTCCAAGGTAGTTTCAATTATGTTGCTGTGCAGTTGTTAGTGTTGCTATGTAATTACACTGGTGTTTTTTGGCCAGATTCACAGGTGTTGCTATGGTGTTCTGGTTAGTTTTAAGAGTGTTGCTAGGCAGCTGCTATAGTGCTTTGGCCAGTTTCACGGGTGTTGCTAGGCAGCTGCTACAGCGTTTGGCCATATTCACAGGAGTTGCTATGGTGTTCTGGGTAGTTTTAAGAGTGTTGCTAGGCAGCTGCTATAGCGTTTGGCCAGATTCACAGGTGGTGCTATGGTGTTCTGGGTAGTTTTAAGAGTGTTGCTAGGCAGCTGCTATAGTGTTTTGACCAGTTTCACGGGTGTTGCTATGGTGTTCTGGGTAGTTTTAAGAGTGTTGCTACGCAGCTGCTATAGCGTTTGGCCAGATTCACAGGTGTTGCTATGGTGTTCTGGTTAGTTTTAAGAGTGTTGCTAGGCAGCTGCTATAGTGTTTTGGCCAGTTTCACGGGTGTTGCTATGGTGTTCTGGGTAGTTTTAAGAGTGTTGCTAGGCAGCTGCTATAGTGTTTTGGCCAGATTCACAGGTGTTGCTATGGTGTTCTGGTTAGTTTTAAGAGTGTTGCTAGGCAGCTGCTATAGCGTTTGGCCAGTTTCACGGGTGTTGCTATGGTGTTCTGGGTAGTTTTAAGAGTGTTGCTAGGCAGCTGCTATAGCGTTTGGCCAGATTCACAGGTGTTGCTATGGTGTTCTGGGTAGTTTTAAGAGTGTTGCTAGGCAGCTGCTATAGTGTTTTGACCAGTTTCACGGGTGTTGCTATGCAGCTGCTATAGCGTTTGGCCAGATTCACAGGTGTTGCTATGGTGTTCTGGTTAGTTTTAAGAGTGTTGCTAGGCAGCTGCTATAGTGTTTTGGCCAGTTTCACGGGTGTTGCTATGGTGTTCTGGGTAGTTTTAAGAGTGTTGCTAGGCAGCTGCTATAGTGTTTTGGCCAGTTTCACGGGTGTTGCTATGGTGTTCTGGGTAGTTTTAAGAGTGTTGCTAGGCAGCTGCTATAGTGTTTTGGCCAGTTTCACGGGTGTTGCTATGGTGTTCTGGGTAGTTTTAAGAGTGTTGCTAGCCAGCTGCTATAGTGTTTGGCCAGATTCACAGGTGTTGCTATGGTGTTCTGGGTAGTTTTAAGAGTGTTGCTAGGCAGCTGCTATAGTGTTTTGGCCAGTTTCACGGGTGTTGCTATGGTGTTCTGGGTAGTTTTAAGAGTGTTGCTAGGCAGCTGCTATAGTGTTTTGGCCAGTTTCAAGGGTGTTGGTATGCAGCTGCTATAGCGTTTGGCCAGATTCACAGGTGTTGCTATGGTGTTCTGGGTAGTTTTAAGAGTGTTGCTAGGCAGCTGCTATAGTGTTTTGGCCAGTTTCAAGGGTGTTGGTATGCAGCTGCTATAGCGTTTGGCCAGATTCACAGGTGTTGCTATGGTGTTCTGGGTAGTTTTAAGAGTGTTGCTACGCAGCTGCTATAGCGTTTGGCCAGATTCACAGGTGTTGCTATGGTGTTCTGGTTAGTTTTAAGAGTGTTGCTAGGCAGCTGCTATAGTGTTTTGGCCAGTTTCACGGGTGTTGCTATGGTGTTCTGGGTAGTTTTAAGAGTGTTGCTAGGCAGCTGCTATAGTGTTTTGGCCAGTTTCACGGGTGTTGCTATGGTGTTCTGGGTAGTTTTAAGAGTGTTGCTAGCCAGCTGCTATAGTGTTTGGCCAGATTCACAGGTGTTGCTATGGTGTTCTGGGTAGTTTTAAGAGTGTTGCTAGGCAGCTGCTATAGTGTTTTGGCCAGTTTCACGGGTGTTGCTATGGTGTTCTGGGTAGTTTTAAGAGCGTTGCTAGGCAGCTGCTATAGTGTTTTGGCCAGTTTCAAGGGTGTTGGTATGCAGCTGCTATAGCGTTTGGCCAGATTCACAGGTGTTGCTATGGTGTTCTGGGTAGTTTTAAGAGTGTTGCTAGGCAGCTGCTATAGTGTTTTGGCCAGTTTCACGGGTGTTGCTATGGTGTTCTGGGTAGTTTTAAGAGTGTTGCTAGGCAGCTGCTACAGCGTTTGGCCAGTTTCACGGGTGTTGCTATGGCGTTCTGGGTAGTTTTAAGAGTGTTGCTAGGCAGCTGCTACAGCGTTTGGCCAGATTCACAGGTGTTGCTATGGTGTTCTGGGTAGTTTTAAGAGTGTTGCTAGGCAGCTGCTATAGTGTTTTGGCCAGTTTCACGGGTGTTGCTATGGCGTTCTGGGTAGTTTTAAGAGTGTTGCTAGGCAGCTGCTACAGCGTTTGGCCAGATTCACAGGTGTTGCTATGGTGTTCTGGTTAGTTTTAAGAGTGTTGCTAGGCAGCTGCTACTGTTTTGTGGGTGGTTGTCAAAGCATTTGTCATGCAGTTGCTAGGTGTCTGTTTGAATGAAAGACTGCAGACGTGTCTCAGCTCCTCATTTTCTCGGGAGATCTGACTGAATCTGTCGAGTGTTTTGTTGTGCCGTCCCTCGTCTCTCTGACCTCCGTGACTCTCATTACTCTGAGCTGTAGGGTGTTATTCACCGATGAAGAAGAACTAATCTTCATCATAGACACTTCTAATTCTCAAGATCTTGGTTATTGGCGTCATCATGAACCAGCGTTTACAATCCACAACACCTCCATTATGTGATACATTTTCATAATAAATACCTCGAGTTTATACCTTGAGCGTAACATGAATCAATCCTGCTAAATGAATAATAAATATACTGTATATGTTTATGTACTGTATATGTAGATGAATGCAAATCAGATGGTCAGACCAACGCTGTTTTTCACTAAAGAGGACTTCGTATGTTCTCCAGTAGTGTCTTGATTTAAGAGTGTTCAGATACTCAAGATAAATATACTGAGTAATAACACATTGTCTCTGGGACAGGAACTGTCTGTGTGGTTAATTAGCACTTGGAGGATAGCACGCCCACAGCGAGAGTCCATGACTTAATGACCCTCCGCAGCTGCTCTCCTCCCATAATGCACCTCTCCGGCTCTTATCGCTCGACTCTCTTCAGCTGGAAAATCGAGTCTCGTCGACAGCCGGAATCCTGATTAGAGCCGCCGGTTTCAGCTCTTTAATGTGTCCTCCGCCGTGATGAACGACCCGTTGGCCACCGGTTTAGATGGTGATTTGTGTGATTTATGTGCGAGTGTGTGTGTGTGTGTGTGTTTATAAAGTCCTGCACTGCAGTGCTTGTTTATCATGAAGTTCACTCTGGACCCAGAAAGCAATTTTGCGTTTAAAAGACGGCTAAAGCAGGCTAAATCTGGGCTGTCAGTGAGAATATAATGGACGTCTAAACCATCGCTGAAGAGTAGACTAGTCATCATTACATAACGAAGAAATAAAATGAGTGAAGAAATGAAACCACAGAGACTTCAGATGCCCCAACACCTGCGATGAGACGACTGCTGATATAATATGTATTGTATGAATTGAACTATTGCAAATATGATGGAATATCATGCATCTCACAAGTTATTTTGGCATAAACGACATGTAACCAAATTCAAGAGTTATGTTGGCCAGAAGTGTGTTACTCATAGCTGGACTATATCGGGTCTATAGTTAACCGAGACGATTGCTGGAGAGTACGTCTCATGGACTCACTGAACACAGTAGTGTAGCTCCACTGAGGGGATAGGATCAGGTGATCTGCATGAAGTTTAGCTCTGTCATGTCACCATCTCTTACTGAAATCAATGATTTGACGCTGCTAATCGCTGTCAGAATTAAAGCTGAATGTTCTTTAAATCCCGACTGAACCTTTCTGTCTGATTCTCTCTCTCTCTCTCTCTCTCTCTGTGCAGAAGAATAGAGTAATGGAAATGTCATTTTCCCTCTGGCTCCTGGTCTGCTATTTCCACTCTGCCATTCTCTCGTCTCAGTAATGTTCTTTACGTCAGAACCGACTGACTATCTGTTATGAACTGCTCCGAGACGTGCAGATGTGGATCCAAATGCAGCTTTATTTCAGAATAGTCGTACAGGCAGGGTCAAGAATTAGCAGACAGGACAATGGAGAACAACCAACGGGAATCCAAGAAACAGGCAGAGGTCAGGGCAGGCAGCAATAATCAAAATCCAAAGTCAAAAACCAGAAAACAAACACAGAAAACGCTCATAAATGCAGACATACAGTACAACAAGACTTCGCGGTGAGTTAATGAATGAACATGGGATATAAAGACAGTGAATGAGGTACAGGTGAATGTGATCAGTGATGATGAGTCCGGGCAATGAGTTCTGGGAAATGTAGTTTGTGAGTGATAGTCTTATCTGGAGTGCCCTCTGCTGGCTCAAAAGGGCACTCCAGCTGGTGACCGTTACACTAGGATCTCTTAATCTCCCTCTTTCTCTCATTCTCCATCGCTGATCATTTCACATCATTAATCAGTGCGGTCTCCGCATTCGCGGGGATATTAAGCGAGAAACGCAAATATCTCGGCAAAAAATTCATGTTTTGGTGATTTTTCGCCAAGATATTTGCGTTTCTTGCTTAATATCCCCGCAAATACTCCACCAAAATTGACGAAACACATATGGCTTTGCTCAGTTCGTCGAGACGGTTGGAAGGAGCCCTGTCTCCGATACGTTGAGTTTTCGCCGAGATACGGGGCTGGGGGTGGTCTCTTTCGAAAGGTCTCGGCCCGTTCTCCACTCACTAAAAATTTGGCGTCGAAACGATGTTTTTTCGCCGAGATATTAGTGTGGGTTAGGGTCACTTGAAGCCGTATGGATCTTGAAAACAGTATTTTGTATATTTTCTGAGAGAGAAATCTAGTCACGGTCTGCATGAGAGTTGAAATAAAACCGGTTTCAATAACTGTGTGACTGCGTGTTTAAAATAGTTTTTTTGACAAAATTTGACAAAATACACATGGACAAATAAAAATGAAACGAAGATAAACAATAATATAAGGATAGAAGAAATACATTAATTCATTAACTAATGAACCTTATTGTAACCTAAGCGTTAATATGATTTTCTGTAAAAAATAAATATATAATTTTTTTTACATAAAAAGCTTGTCGTATCATCAGCTGTTCATTGCTAAACCGCGAAGAGTGTGTTTGGCCCGCTGATGTGAAGCCCCGTGGGATCGCCGTGGTCTTGCTAATGAATTGCCTCTGACTCGTGCGAGTTAATGAGCCTGATGGGAATGGCTAGTCCCTCGAGTATGTGCATCTCTGGTGGAATCTCATGGTGTCCTCTCCTCCGCCGGCAGGACCAGGACTGGGCTGGGTTATATGTGGTGATGAGGTCACCGAGACGTCACCAAGAGAATCTTCATAAATACTGAAAAAATCTCCAGCGCTTTGATCACTGGATTGTCCAGTTTTCAGGTGAAACATGGCGGCTCAAGGGAAAGCCTCTGAGCGCACGCCGTCGTCTGTGTTCTACATCGCCATATACGTCCTTCTGGTGATGCTGGGGAACGCCGGGAACGCCACGGTCATCGGAGTGGTCGGAGAAGGGCTTCTCCGGGATACGGGAGCCATCCGAAGCGCAGATGTGATCCTGGTCAACATGGCTTTCTCCAACCTGATGGTGTCGTTGGTGAGAAACACTCTCCTGGTGATGTCCGACATGGGAGTGGAGGTAAGGAAGAGCTACGGGAGGGGGATTGTTGGAAATGTGTGATGTAATGTCAGTTGCTCGGAGTGGACCGGGGTAAGCGCTGGGGCAGGGGTCACCGTGCCTTGCAGGACCTGGGCACTGGGAGATCCCCATTAGTCCAGAAGAGTCTGTCCCAGTCAGGAACAGAAGGACAGACCGTTGGTGTTAAAGCCGAACTGAACCTTCTCTACGATATCCTGATCTGGAAACAAGGAGAGAGCCGAGACTGGTCCAAATGCAATAATGCTGCCGGCTGGCTCTGTCTGGAAGGCTGAAATCTTTGTTTTCCATTTCAACTCTCATCTTTCTAAGGACTCGCTTCGTTATACAGCCAGAAATGAGGGCTAGTTTTCAGTCGCCTATGCTTGTAGTCTAAACTGGGTGAAGGAGAGCATTGTCTGCTGCTAGTTTGATATTGTTGTGCATTTGATTTATTTTAAAGGGGGCATATTATGAACATCAGACTCTCTCCGTGTGTGTGTGTGCTGTAATCGGGTTCTTCTACCGAGAACAGGTGAACCGTGAAACCCAGTAACTGTGTTCTGGTGAGTCTTTCTCTGAGAGCATGTCTAAGAATAAACCGATCAGATTTTGCTCCTTCTGGCGTATGAAGAGGATCTTATTATAATGTTCCCGGCCCTTAATCTGCACGTTCACACACACCAGCGACACTGGGTTGGGCGAGTGCCGACAGAGCCCAGTTCTAACACACTGGAGAAGATCCAGCTGAGCCTGAAACCATGTCACCGCTGTCTTATAAACACTGTCTCAGGAACTGTGGACACATGATGATAAGATGATCAGTGTGACTCAACAACAACGACACAAACGTCATCTTTCATTGCCATCAGCAATTGTAATCATCAGCCTTGTTCTTTCCTCGCAGGTTTTCCTCAATAGGAACTGGTGTCGCTTCATGATGGGCGTCTGGGTTTGGCTCCGCTCTGCAAATGTTTGGTCGACGTTCTTTCTGAGCGCGTTCCACTTTCAGACACTGCGTCGACTCGCCCCGGCCGTCACGAACGTGCACGGTCACCCCGGACCCCCCAAATCCCTCATATTCGGCTTGTCCCTGATCTGGAGCCTCAATCTGATCTACTCCATCCCAGCGTTCATCTTCTCCAAGAACGGAGACGAGAACTCCACCGAGGTCAGTCTGTCGATTTATTGGTCAACGGCTTAATTTAATGTGTGTGTTTCCTTTCGGTTAGAGGGAGAGTTCACCCTAAAATGCAAACTAGCCCATGGTTTACTCTCCCTAGACACTCTTCTTTCAGATGAATACAGTCGGAGTAATATTAAAAAATGTCCTGGCTCTTCCAAGCTTTATAATGGCAGTGAATGGTTTTTAAGTCCATAAAATTGCATCTATCCATCATAAAAGTGCATCTGTCCATCATAAAAGTGCATCTATCATCATAAAAGTGCATCTGTCCATCATAAAAGTGCATCTGTCCATCATAAAAGTGCATCTGTCCATCATAAAAGTGCATCTGTCCATCATAAAATTGCATCTATCCATCATAAAAGTGCATCTGTCCATCATAAAAGTTCATCTGTCCATCATAAAAGTTCATCTATCATCATAAAAGTTCATCTATCATCATAAAAGTGCATCTATCATCATAAAAGTGCATCTATCCATCATAAAAGTGCATCTATCCATCATAAAAGTGCATCTATCCATCATAAAAGTGCATCTATCATCATAAAAGTGCATCTATCCATCATAAAAGTTCATCTATCATCATAAAAGCGCATCCGTCCATCATAAAAGTTCATCTATCATCATAAAAGTGCATCTATCCATCATAAAAGCGCATCCGTCCATCATAAAAGTTCATCTATCATCATAAAAGTGCATCTGTTCATCATAAAAGTTCATCTGTCCATCATAAAAGTTCATCTATCCATCATAAAAGTGCATCTGTCCATCATAGAAGTTCATCTATCATCATAAAAGTGCATCTATCATCATAAAAGTGCATCTATCCATCATAAAAGTGCATCTATCCATCATAAAAGTGCATCTATCCATCATAAAAGTTAATCTATCATCATAAAAGTGCATCTATCATCATAAAAGTCCATCTATCCATCATAAAAGTGCATCTATCCATCATAAAAGTGCATCTGTCATCATAAAAGTGCATCTATCCATCATAAAAGTCCATCTATCCATCATAAAAGTTCATCTATCATCATAAAAGTGCATCTATCATCATAAAAGTCCATCTATCCATCATAAAAGTTCATATATCCATCATAAAAGTGCATCTATCCATCATAAAAGTGCATCTGTCCATCATAAAAGTGCATCTATCCATCATAAAAGTCCATCTATCCATCATAAAAGTTCATCTATCATCATAAAAGTGCATCTATCCATCATAAAAGTGCATCTATCCATCATAAAAGTGCATCTATCATCATAAAAGTCCATCTATCCATCATAAAAGTGCATCTATCATCATAAAAGTCCATCTATCATCATAAAAGTTCATCTATCATCATAAAGGTGCATCTATCCATCATAAAAGATGATGGATAGATGCACTTTTATCATTGAAAGATGCATAAAGCTCGGAAGAGCCAGGACATTTTTTAACATCTGAAAGAAGAGTGTCAAATACACCTGGGATGAGTAAATGGGACCTATGGGAGAGTAAACCATGGGCTAATTAAATTTTTTGGGGAACTATCCCTTTGACCTCCGACCCCTCCTCAGACGCTGATGTTGGTGAGCAGCACCACTCGGCCGCTGTTGGGATGCATCTGGGATTTTCCGTCGGCCTACAGCGGCCTGGTCTTCGCCACCTCCTCCATGGTGATCCATGAGTCCATCCCCATCTTCCTGATGAGCGTTACTAACCTGGGCTCCTTGTTCACGCTGTACACTCACGGACACAGAAGAAGAGCTGCCAACAAGAGTCAGGACGCGCCGGTCATAAGCGGGATCCCTGCGGAGCAACGGGCGGCTAAGGTGAGACGATCTTATCCCAACTCTTAGTGTTTATATCTACTGTAACCCTACTGTGGATACAAGTCCTACCTTTATTTTCAACATTTGCTGGAAGATCAGATCACATGTGCACAATATGTCATCAATAGTTGTGGTTTGTTTTCTCGTGAGAGATTTTAAATATCTAATCAAAATAAAGTTAATATTTGTATCGGGACACTAGCATACCCAAGACTCGAACGTTACATGAACAAAAAGACCATTTTGGCTTTCGTTGGTTCACTCAAGTGTAAAATTCCAACTGGTTGGTAGGAATGTTGTTCCAGGACCAACAAAAGCAAGGCGGTCCCAGACCCAAGGTTTAATTATACCATGATGATGTCATTTCCTAAACTAATGATCTTCACTGATGGCCACAGTCCTGTGGGAAGCGTAGGTTCACTGTCCCATGGGAGCCGAGAGCAAGTCCGTTCATGTATATGTTTCTCCAGAGTAACCGAAGTGTTTCTGCAAGGAAGTGGAGTTAGGGGTTAGCACTGTTTTTAATTCAGTATTACAGAATAATACTTCTTTATGTGTTTGCTCAGGTGATTTTTGCGCTCAATATCCTCTTTATTTCATCTTGGGGCGGCAGCATCATCTCGGTGAACTACTTCAACTACAACCGCGGACCTTCCACGCAGTTCCTGCTGATCGTGGCTCGCATCACTAACATCACCTTCATCGCGCTGTCGCCCATCGTGCTCGCCGTGGGACACCGCAGACTCCGAGCCTTTATAAAGTCAGTCCTGTCGTGTATCGTCTGACAGACAGCTCTCTATGGACAGGCATCAAACACATATGATCACAAGCATGTGTGTCACATTATTTATTTTTAATAAAGTTATGTACTTACTCAGAAACGAAGACTCTGTGCCATTCAAATTCCATTTCAAAATGACAATTCCTGAGTTTGAATTGAGCGATCAAAGAATTTAAGGAAGGAGAGTTATTTAATGCACTGCATTTCCTTTACATTTATTCATTCAGCACACACTACTTACAAATTACTAGGTAACACTTTACAATACGGTTCATTATTTAACATTAGTTAGGCTAATGTATTAACTAACTATGAGCAATACATTTATTACAGTATTTATTAATCTTTGTTGATGTTAGTTAATAAAAATACAGCGTTTGTTCATGTTAGTTCACAGTACAGTACAACTTTGATTTTAAAAATTTATCAGTAAGTGCTAAAATTAATAAATGCTGATTCTTAGCTCATGTTAACTAAGGTAATAAACTAACGTTAACTAAAGAACCGTATTCTAAAGTGTTATCAATAAGTTAAAAAACATATCAAATCATATAATAATAAGAGGAATAAGTATTTAAAGAAAATACTAAATATGACTAAATAAAAAGGAATTTAATTTGTCCTGAGAGAAAATGTCCTGAGAGGAATCATCCTGATTGAATTTAAGGTTTGTACTGTGCATCTCTCAAGATTATTATTCTAGTAGCTCACAAATACATTTTTACTTCTCACATTATTTCTTATTCCGTGTCTGGCATGCAGGGCTTCGGGCGAGTGCAGACAGACACTAGATCACTTCGGTTATACTCTGTGAAGGGTTTCTGTGGGCCGCTTCACTGGTGTAACTGTGTCACCGGAGCGCCGATGTCCGACAGAGAGTATGACTCAAGGTAAACCTGTGTTTCTTTATTCTTGGATTGTGTATTTATTTAGTAAACAATTGCAACAGACTAAATCATGTTCATGCCATAAAATTGTTATCTTGCAACAGACTCCAGCGCCTTTTCTTTTTTCCAACTTATCATTTGGGTTAAACGTGTAACCCAGGATGTTGGGTTCACTGGGCAATCCAGTTATTATGACAGATTAACCCAACATGAGACACATTAACATTCCCCACACCAGATTGCTTTGGATTTTTAGCCTAGCATTTTTTAGATAGCTGAATCTTCAAAATGGAGCCAAACAATATGAAGCAGCATACAAGATGGAGGCCTTTTAAAACAGGAACACGTAAGAATCTAGCTCTTCTTGTGTTATGAAGTTTCTCTGTCCCTGCGTCAGAGTTGTGTGTGAGTCAAATTGACAGCAGTCTTGAGTTGTGTGTGTGTTAGTAATATCTCTGATATGTGTGTCTACTGCCACCTAGCGATCGTAAAACAACATCATCACAAGAATGTTTTAACTGATTATTTTTAACCAGATATTGAAGTATAACCTTTATATTAAATAAGAATACCCGTGTTTTATTTTATGCTTCATATTGCATCTATTCATTCCACACGTCTGACTGAAATACATTTGGGCCTAATTAACATGATGAGAAGAAGAGATTCATTAAACCGTACAAAGATAACACCATGTATCTCGTGTTTACCGTCGTGTTTACCTCGTCACTCTGAATCTGACGTGTATCGGCGGGAGATTCTCAGCATTCTCTGAGGTAAATATTGACCGATCAATTTCTGACTAAATAAATTAAAACGACTGATACAATCTCTATCAAATCAATACCGTTTTGTTAATATTTTACTTTGAACATTTTTGGATCATTGAAGAATCCACCGTCCGTGTTTTCGCGTACAGATTAAAGGGCGCGTGACGTTTTACGAGCCAACTTCACGCGCACGCGCTTTCTGTGGAGCGCTTTCTTCAATTGGGCAGCGCGCATTCTATACTTATGATAATTATAAGATTAAAAATGCGAAATTATTACTTTCAGTGTCATAATTTCGATTTAGTACGTCATAATTCTGACTTCATCTCATAGTCCTAAACAATCAATTCAATTCACATTTATTTTAACACTTTTCACAAGACATGTAGTTTCAAAGCCGCTTTACTCCACAACATTAGTTTAGAGTGATCTGTTATCAGAGGTGACTTAAGTACATTTACAAATCACAGTTAGCTAAAATTGTTTAAATTTAAACAGTGTAATTATTTAAGGCAGAAACAATGAGCTCATTGGAGCAATGAATACTTTTTTGTTAACAAATGATAATGACATATAGTAAATTGTAGTATAATTATGACAGTGTCTTTTTATGTCATAATTATGATTTACGAAAGCATGAATTTTTTTTGCTATGTGCGGTGTATATAATGTGATATATTTGAGGTAATACAAATTGGCGAAGTATTTAATGATAGAAGATTGTTGCAATGTTTAATATGAAAATAAATGTGTTTGAAGCGTCTTTCTCTCAGATTCAGATCTCTCTTTGTATGTCTTTCAGGTCAGAGGTCATGGTGTGTCTCTCTCCTGGACGCACAATCACTAACACAGTGGAAAGCCAGATATTGATGTCTTTGGGTGAGGGAATCCCATCTATTCCTGAAAAGAGTTGAAATAAAATGGGAAAGAGTTGAAATAAAATTGAAGACTACTTCTCTGTAGCATATGTGACACACATTTTGTGTCGAGAGGATCCTTTCTAGAAAGTACAAAGAACTAAAGATGTTAAATCACAGTTTTGGCTTTTCTTGGACCCACTCTGTGGAATTGGCGGGTTTGCTAATGAATTAGGCTGCTAACTAGTGCGAGTTTAATTAGCCTGGTGGGGATAGTTAATCCCTCGAGCGTGAAGATGCAAGTTCAGCTCATGTATCCCAAAACATCCGAATCTCACCTGCCACTCACTGCATCTTCTCCTATGACAGCAGGACCGGGATTCAGCGGATGTTGGGATTTATATGGTAACCATGATCCATAAAAGGGGCTTGCGGTCGGTGGGAGGAGAGGAGGGCGCTGGGATGGAGAAAATACAACATCACTGAGGCTTTCTGAGAGACGCTCCATTTATGACTGGAGTTTGAAGAACATGACGGCTCAAAGAAAACCCTCAAACCTCAGTCAGCGCATCTCTTCGTCTCCGTTCTACTTCATGCTCTACGTGGTTCTGGTCCTGCTGGGGAACGTTGGGAACACCACGGTCATCGCAGTGGTCGGCCAAAGCCTTCTTCGGGAAACGGGAGTCGTCAGGAGCTCAGATGTGATCCTGGTCAACATGGCTTTCTCCAACCTGATGGTGTCGTTGGTGAGAAACACAGTCGTGATGGTGTCCGATCTGGGACTGGAGGTACGCCGGAGTTCCCTTATGGATGAACGCTTGGTTGAATGTATAACTGTTAATGAATGAATGGATGTTGAGGTTTGGAGATGGGATCTGGGTTCAATCTCTACAGCCAAAATGAGTGTGAACCCAACCTGGTGTCTTTGTGAAGGCTTTGAGCTGTGTAAATGTCAAGCCACCTCTATTTATACAGCGCTTTTTACAATACAGAGTGTTTCAAAGCTGCTTCACAGAGATGACGGGAAATAATGCAACAAAATTACAAGAGATTGTTTCATTCTGCAGAGTTTAAATGGGTTCAGAACAATCAAAACCAACAAAAATCCCAAATGGACTCTAATCAAGTGTTGTTTATTGAGATTTGCCAGACACCGGTTGCCTTTGAAATGCTGTGTTTGTTGAGGCATGTGTGTTTTGCTATTTTCAGCCCAACGCAGTTTTCATTTTCACGTCCTGCACCACGTTGTTTAAATAGCGAATCATCAGTGGCCCGTGGGCTGCTGGTCTGGGAACGAGTGTGTGTCTGAGGAACTGAAGTGGACTGAGCCGTTGACCCTGGGCTAAAGTCATGTGCGCCTATAGACGGGTCCACAACGCTTGAACCATCTGCTTATTACACACACAGCAACACACAAACAAGCCAAATATTACAAATAAAATCTTAAAGATTAATATTGTGAACATAAAGATATGGTGGAATCCGACTTGTCCCGTAGATTGTCTGCTTGCGCTTTAACCTCACACACAGTTTCCTCGCGTCTCGTTTTTCCCTCCATGTAAATAGCGAATCCGCCATGCGAGCCCAACTGGCTTTTAAAGAGAATGGGAGATGAGACTCTGATTGGTTTATTGTATGTTGCACCTAAAACACCCCCATCACTCATGAGGAGAATAGGGACGACCCTTTTAGACCAGCGCCGACCATTTGTCCCGTCGTTAAACTAGCAGAGAAGGATTCGGAGTGCACTTTAGACCACGCGCTTAGACCTTAAATAGGGCCGCTAGTGTTTCCTCCGTCAGGACTGGATTTACTGTATTTGTATCAACTCGTGTGTTTCCTCACAGATCTTCCTCAGTAGAGATATGTGTCACCTCATGATGGGCATCTGGGTTTGGCTCCGCTCTGCAAACGTGTGGTCGACGTTCTTCCTGAGCGCGTTCCACTTCCAGACGCTGCGCCGCGTGGCTCCGCCGGTGATTAGCCTTCACGGGCCCCGCGGGCCCCCCAGACCCCTCGTGCTCGGCTTCGGCCTCATCTGGAGCCTCAACCTGGGCTACGCCATCCCCGCCTTCATGTTCTCCAAGAACGGAGACGAGAACTCCACCGAGGTCAGTCTGGGTCAGAGGCGGACATGTTTCGGGAACAAAGTCACTGGTAATCCCGGGAATAGGAAAAAATGTCAGTGGGAGTACGTGGGACCGGGAATCGTAATAACACCCAACTTCATGCACAAATATAAATGTGTTTGCATGGATGAAACTGAATGTGTGTGCATTAAGCTGGCTTTCAGTTCAATAAAATAAGATAAAAACGACATTTTGGGTTTTCATTCAACTAAGGTGGGCTTTGTGGATTTATTTTTGTGGGATTGAGATGGTAGAGGTTTGAAAATGCAGTCTGTGTGTGTTTATGATCAACATTCAGCTTGTGTTTGACCTGGCTTGACCTCCGACCCCTCCTCAGACGCTGATGTTGGTGAGCAGCACCACTCGGCCGCTGTTGGGATGCATCTGGGATTTTCCGTCGGCCTACAGCGGCCTGGTCTTCGCCACCTCCTCCATGGTGATCCATGAGTCCATCCCCATCTTCCTGATGAGCGTTACTAACCTGGGCTCCTTGTTCACGCTGTACACTCACGGACACAGTCGCAAGAGTGCGGACGCGCCCGTCGTCACCCGGATCCCAGCGGAGCGGCGTGCTGCTAAGGTGAGGAGCCGGATCTCGCTTTGGGATACAGACTCAAAGTTGGTTGTCTTTAAAGAGACACTAAGCGGGAGTGTGTACGAGTCAGAGAACATCGTAACAATACAGTGTAAAAACATTATACGTTTAAATTTACTTTAATGCAAACATACTAAACATTTGCGCAAACAATTTTTATTATTTTAAAATGTATATTTTACAAAATAATTTTGACACTGAAATCGCAAGAAATTTGAAGCCATGCGTCTAACCTACTTGTGTACCAAATTTGAAGTTGATATCACAAAAATGTAGCTTCCTAAATCGAAATTATGAGATAAATCAAAGTCTGAATGAGGAGAAGTTAAAATTGTGACGCACCAATTCATTTTGAGATTAAAAAGTCAAAATTATGGCAATATAAGTGATAGTTAGGACATACAATTGATGATTTTAACATTTTATTTCATAACTAGAACGCAAGTAAAAAAATTATGAGATAAAAGTTGTAATTATGGCATTAAAAATCTTATGTCAGAATTATGACAAGAATGTTACGTAAAAAAAATAACATCCTAAATATAAATTCTTTGATGAAAAGCTGAAATTGTGACAAAAAACAAGCAAATAAATAAGAGATTAAAAAGTAACACTTATGCCGTTATGGCAATATAGTGAAAATAAAAAAGTCTGAATTTTGACCTTATATCATAACAATATCATGATATTAAAAGTGTGACATAAAAAGTCTAAATTATGACGCACCGAGTTATGAGATTAAAAAGGCAAATTTATGGCAATATACATACAATTTAACAATTTTGAGGAGCTTTACTAATAAACATTCATGCTTTTTCCTGTCACAAATTAATCAATTCCGTCATAAAGTAGCGCATCCATGGAAACGGGATGTTGTGTGTTTTTAATCTTTCAGATGATGATGATTGTGTGTGTGTGTGTTTACTCAGGTGATCCTGGCGCTCAATATCCTCTTCATCTCGTCGTGGGGAACTAACGTTATCTCGGTCAACTACTTCAACTATAACCGCGGCTCTTCCACTGAGTTCCTGCTGATCGTGGCGCGCTTCGCTAACATGAGCTTCATCGCGCTGTCGCCGGTCGTGCTCGCCGTGGGACACCGCAGGCTGCGGGCGTTCGTGCGCGCGGTGCTGTCGAGCCTCTGTCCGGCCGGATAGCCTCCACACACACGGGTCCGGGACACTGCCACCAACAACAACACAACACTAGCACAACACTAGCACAACACAACACTAGCACAACACAACACTAGCACAACACTAGCACAACACTAGCACAACACAACACTAGCACGACACAACACTAACACGACACTAGCACTAGCACAACACGACACTAGCAAAACACTAGCACAACACGACACTAGCACAATACGACACTAGCACAACACGACACTAGCACAACACTAGCACAACACAACACTAGCACGACACAACACTAGCACAACACTAGCACAACACAACACTAGCAAAACACTAGCACAACACGACACTAGCACAATACGACACTAGCACAACACGACACTAGCACAACACTAGCACGACACAACACTAGCACAACACTAGCACAACACTAGCACAACACGACACTAACACAACACTAGCACAACACGACACTAACACAATACGACACTAGCACAACACGACACTAGCACAACACTACCACAACACTAGCACAACACGACACTAACACAACACTAGCACTAGCACAACACGACACTAGCACAATACGACACTAGCACAACACGACACTAGCACAACACTAGCACAACACTAGCACAACACAACACTACCACAACACTAGCACAACACGACACTAACACAACACTAGCACTAGCACAACACGACACTAGCACAATACGACACTAGCACAACACAATACTAGCATGAAACTAGCACAACACGACACTAGCACAACACTAGCGCTAGCACAACATAACACTAGCACAACACGACACTAGAACTAGCACAACATAACACTAGCACGACACAACATAACACTAGCACTGGAGTCGGATCCGAACCCGACGTCCGGATGCACACACACCGCTATCATTAATTGACGGGGACTTCCTTCGCTTTGGGACTTAATGGGAATTTTAAGGAAGTTGTTTCTTTGGGTTTTTTTAGAAGAACTGAAATCAAGTTTCTGTAGGATGATTTATGGAATAAGATATTTTTGTTTAATTTCGTTAATAATGTGAGACTGCAGGTTGTACTGAGTGTGTTCTGTGTCTTGAGTGTGTCTGACTGATTAAACTCACGAATGACGACAGTGAATCGGTCTTATTTCCTCATCTAAGACATGTCTCGTCTGAAGGGAAGTGTGTGTGAAGTCATCCTCAGGGTTGGTAAAGGGAAGTGTGTATTTGGGGTCTCTTGTACGGAGTGTGTTTGTGTCGTGTGAGACGATAACCACACACCACCGACAAGATCATATAAAAGCATCATTTATTAAAACTCGACTGACAGATGTCGAACATGTTCATGTTGCTCGCGTGAAACAGCAGAAATGAGGAGATCTTAAAACAAGATTCGTGTGTCAAAACAATTATTAAAACATTATTAAAGATTCATTCAATATTTAGTTTTATGGTCAATGCGTGAATGCATGAATTACCTTCTCTACAGAATCGTTAAAAACTCAAAACTATAAGATAAAAGTGGAAATTATGACATAATAAAATTGGGATAATTATTATGAGATGACAAATCTTTTTTAAATTATGAGATTAAAAAGTAAAAGTTATGGCAATATAAGCAATATTAGGACAAAAACTGATAATTTGGACATTTTATAAAACGTCACAATTATGAGATAAAAGTTGAAATGATGGCATAAAGAGTCTGAAGTATAACGAAAAGTCAAAACGATAAGACTGAGTATAAATTATAAGATGAAAAGTTGAAGCTGAGACAAAAATAACAAAATACGAGATTAAAAAGTTACAATTATGGCTATATAAGTGATTATAGGACGTACAAAATCAGAATTTTGACTTCATATTATAACTAGCACTTAAAATTGCACACTTGAAATTATGACAAATCTATAATATAAAATGTATAGTTGAGATTGTGACATGATTAATAAGTAAAAACTTTAGTATTTTGGCAGTATTAGTGATCATTAGGACATGCAAAGTAACAGTTTTGACATTTTATATCATAACTAGGGCAGAAAAATCAAAACTGATATAAAAAAAATGAAATTATGGCATAAAAAAGCGAAATTGAAAAATGTTACAATTATAACACTAAGTCATGATTATGAGATGAACAGTTGAAATTGTTACACGATAAAAAAAGTCAAAAGTATGGCAATAAATCAGGACATACAATTTATATCATTATAACTAGGACTTAAAACGTCCAAATAATGGGATTAAAGCTAGCATAGTAGCGTATGATTTAGCGAAGCATGATTGTTTTCTACCGTGTTTCCAGTCTCGTCAGCGGATGTCTGAGTCTCCGCGTGTGTGTGAACGTGTCCTGCGTCACTTCTTCTCGCTCTGTGGCGTTTTCCCGCTCGGCTCGTTCGTCTGTCCGTCGTTCTTGCAGCGCTGCTCCGCCTCAGCCCGCCGGACCCGCCGCACGCACCGCTCCAGGATCCGGCCGATCCGCCGGCGTAGCTTCCCGTGTCCCAGCGTCACCACCAGCGGACTGAAGCCCACGAACAGCGAGGCGGAGAAGTGCGCGATGGTTAGCAGCGCCTCCACGTGTTCACCGCCGTTGTGGTTATAGTAGGTGACGGCGGCGACTTGCAGAACCCAGCAGCCCACGAATAACGCCACTAGCGCCATGATCACGTGACCCGCCTTCCGCTCGCTGGACACCTGAGGCTCCACCACGCCGCCGCCGGACACCGCACGGATGTGCTTAGCAAGCGCGTGCAGTGTAGCGAGATTTGTTCCCAGCATTAGAATGAGCGGCAGCACTTCGTTTAGCGCTAGCGATGTGGAGGCGAAAGCATATCCGTGGCGCTCGGTAGGAAAATTCCACACGCAGCCCAGCAGGGGCCGCGTCGTACAGCTAATCACCATTATCTCCACTGTAGCGTTCCCACGCGCGTCTGTGGTGTAGACTAGCGCCGGCAGGGAGAACAGCAGGTTAGCGAGCCACACGGCGGACAGGAACACAAACACGCGCAGACGCTCGCGCCGGAGACCCTGCGGGCCCATGGACACGTGCTGCCGCCGCAAGGTCGCGCAGTGGAAGCCGCTGAGAGTTAGCGTAGCCCAGCAGCTCACGGCGCGCCACCACACCCACAGTAGCATGAACACGCGGCACCAGCCGGTGCTCAGCCGCACATCCAGGCCCAGATCCGACGCGAAGATCGGCACCGTGCGGAAGATCGACGTTAGCAGGTTCGCTAGGCACAGGTTCACCAGGATGGTGTCAGACGGCGGCAGGTGACGAGAGGAGCTTTCCTTCGAGCACAGGAACACCTGAACACACACACGTCATAATTTCTACTTTTCATCTCATAAATGACTTAGTATATCATGACTTGACTTGTTGTTATAATTAGTCATGATTATGATTAAGCACAGTCAGAAATGACATGTGATCATAGTTTGATATAGTCGTGAGTCTCACCACAGAGATGACCAGGACGTTCCCTATGATCCCAGAGAGCACGAGCAGGCCGAAGAGGATAGCGTCCACTGCCAGGACCTCAGCCATGTCTCACTCTCGGTCTGTCTCACTCTCGGTCTGTCTCACCCTCGGCCTGTCTCACTCTTGGTCTGTCTCACTCTCGGTCTGTCTCACAGTCTGTCTCACTCTCGGTCTGTCTCACTGTCTGTCTCACTGTCTGTCTCACAGTCTGTCTCACCCTCGGTCTGTCTCACCCTCAGTCTGTCTCACCCTCAGTCTGTCTCACTCTCAGTCTGTCTCTCTCTCTGTCTGTGTGTGTCCCATCTCGCGCGCTCACACCAGCTCTGTATATAAGCGCTCGCACACGCTCTACTGAGGCCGCTGGGATTTTAATCTTTAATCAATTATTAAATGCCTGAGTGACGATAAACTCAGGGTAATGATGTTAAGTGTTCAACGATCAGTGAAAACTGGAGGAGCGAGCGTTCACTTTTCTTGACCTTATTGATTCATTTGTTGTCTTTACATTTTTGTTGGTTTATGGTTGATTTGTATTTTATAGTTGTTTTAGTCTTTAATGCGTTTCACCGCTGACAGTTCTGGCATCGTTCTTTCAATGCTACCAAACGTTCTCTAACGTTAATAGATTTAACGCTTTACAATAAGGGCTAGTTAACATTAGCAATGAACTAACAATGAGCCGTACTGTGGAGTATTGCATTCACTTGAGTTAAAAAAAACTTTTTTCCATGAAAGCTTATCTCTAATTCTGAGATTAACTCGTTAATTCAGAAAAAACAGAGTAGATTTTTGAGTTATTAGTTTTTGTTCATGTTAGTTCACAGTGCATTAATGATAACACAGCCTTTGCTTTTAATAATGTATTAGTAAATGTTGAATTTAATACTAAGATGAATGCTGTAGAGGTATTGTTCATTCTTAGTTCATATTAACTTATAAACATTATTGTAGAGTGTTACAGGTTTTTTCCATTAGTAGGGTACAAAAACCTTATTAATGGAGATTTTCCACTGAAATGTTTTACATTACGTTTTACATTTGTTATAAAGTAAAATTCCCATAATATTTGAAGAATTATAAATGAAATTTCTTTAAAGTTCACATAACCAATAAAAAAACTTAATAAATGGACGTTTCAAACATTTAGAAATAATGTTTTAATGGAAGTTCCGGTGTGACAACATGCCCCACTGTGTGTTTCACATGTCCCCCATGTTTCTGCTCGTGTCTCAATGTTTGTGTCTAACAAAACCAACTCTAATGAGTAAAGGTCTTATTAATTTCTGCTGATGAAGATCATCGGGCACTTATTCTCAGGGGTTTTATTAAACTCTGTGTGTCTGATTCTGCATGTTCCCATCATTAGAAGAAGCGCTGACTCAATCCTCCTGGTCAGTGTGTGTGTGTGTGTGTGTGTGTGTGTGTGTGTGTGTGTGTTTGGACCGAATCATCTCTTTATGATGATGATGATGATGACGGTGAATATTTCACGGCGCGCACGTCATTCTCACGCAGGCTTATTAACCTCGAGAACTTCTCCTTTTACCACAAATGCTTGTTTCTGCCACGGAATAAAACAATTTAAAAGATAATTGCGACCTTTTCTCACACAATTCGTACTGTTTTTCTATTAAAATACGATTTATATCAAGCAATTCTGGCTTAATAACTCAATTGTGAAGAAAAAAATACATTTGTTGCAATTATTTTTTTTTTAAATCATTCCATGGCGAAAACAAGCTTCCATATTTTAAATTATGCTCTTAATGTATGGTGACGATTCAACATTTTGACAAGTATTACTGCTGATGAACACTAGATGGCGTCGAATACACATACTCAAACTGTGCTCGTAAGGTTTTCAAATTCTTACACAGAAGTACAGAATCTTTCTGATATTTATTCACAACCAGACACGTGTGGGTTTATTTTATTTTTATGAACACGATGGCCCTCCTGTTGAAGACTATCATATTTTCAGTAAAACAATGAAATGCAAAATTCATGGAACACACAACAAATCAAACCATCAGTTGTTTATTTGCTTAACTACTGCAACATCTTTGTGCTTAAAAACCTGAAATAACCCTTCATGTAAAAAAACAAACAAAAAAAAACACATTAGTGCAGATTCATTAAACGGTTTTTCAGTAGATAATATTTCCTAACACGTTTTATAAATTATATTAATATAAAAATATATAGTATTTTTTTAAATGTTGATGATTTTTTATTATTAACAAGACAGACCAATGACAAAAGTATAAAGGGGCCTACAAAGGGGAGAAAATAAAAAACAACAAAAACAGAGCAAAAACACAGCAAACATGTAATACCTCAGTGTATTATTGATTGTATTTTCGAGAAAAATAATCGGAAATCGTCTGGTTTCTGACAAAGGTAAAGTGAGAATGAACGAAAGAAGTATGCTAATTACCACAGTGATTATTATCCGCGGGAGCGCGCGTACACATGCGCGCTCTCGTCCGGCGGCTGCAGCGGAAGGTTTTCTCTGAGGTAATCTTTAAATCTCCATCTTTATTTACAACAAATCCTTATCGGTCTTCTTAATAATAATGTTAATCGATGTTGTTTTGTTTGTCTTGTATTCAGAGATTCAGCCGTTAGTGTTTTGTTTGTTTTTATAGCGACGCACGAGTCGGTGTGTGGCGGTTAATTCTGTGTTTTTTTTTTTTTTTTCAGGCGCGCGCACCGATGTGATGGCGACCGCACGTCTCCGGTATTCTCCGCATTTGTCCATTGATTGTGAACAAATAAGCTAAATAATTAAGAAATGGCAGGCCATCGGGGATCAGTGTTCCTCCGCTACTCCTTTCCGGTTCTGCTGCTTCTAAGCAGAGCTTTACCGAACCGGACCAGCAGCATCCGTGATGCCCAATACAGTAATAATGACACCAATAAAGACTCCAAGCGGATACCAAAGCTACAGGACAACAGCACTACTGTAAGATGGTGGCGTACTTTGGGTGAAGTCGGGCCGCTGTGTGCATACCGCACTCTTGAGGAAGGTGACCCAGGGCGTTTGTGTTTCCGGTATACGCGACCGGACTTCCGGTGCACAGGCGCTACCTGTCGACAGGTGAGCTCACCTGACCGGCAGCTAACGGCGAATATCCTGTCCAACGGAAGTGTGTTCGTTCAGTGGACGGCTCAGGCTAGCCCCACTCACGGGCCTGCGGGCGGCTTCCGGCTCAGTTGCTGGTGGAACGGCAGCTACACGCAGTTCGAATGCGCCGGCGTGCATTTAGGCAGCAGCTGCCGCGATTATTTACTCACCGAGCTGCACGCTAACGTGCCGTACCGCCTCTGCGTGCGGCCCTACGCCCTCGACCGGGCCGAAGCCTGCGTGGAGTTCAGCCTCGAGCCCAGTGGGATGCAGGACATCGTTATCGCCATGACAACAGTGGGCGGAGCCATCTGCGTGATGCTGGTCATCATTTGCCTGTTGGTGGCGTACATCACCGAAAACATCATGAACCCGACGGCGCAGCACACGCTCACGGCGCAGCACTCGCACAGATCGCACCTGCACACACACCTGTGAAGAGAAACATCGTTATCGTCATCGCGCAAACACACACCTTACAGCTCAGGATCGGAAACGAAATGCAGAATTCATGTAGAAAGAGACGCAGTTCCACAGAGCTCTACTTACACACAGGCTGTGTTCGGAATGGAGGACTTACCTACTATTGACTGAGTAATGCGCGGTATACACCGCTAACTGTGTACGTTTATTCTTAAATAGTACGCAACAGTACACCGTCCACCCAGCTAACAAATTTATGTCTAAAATAAGGTTGTGGGAACAGTGATCTGCAAAGTTTCTAATGTGTTAGAATGTTATTTAAAGGGTTACGATAATGTTACTATAATAACGTTTACTTGTAAAATTCGTTAATATTAAGCAAATATCAAAAATATCACAGCAATGTTAAAAAATGTCATTCTAAGGATGTTTTCTCTCAACGTTATGAGAATGTTCATCGAGTAAAAACAACATCATAATGATGTTCCAAGAGCTTTGAAAAAACAAAGCATAGAACGTTGTACTTCAACATGTACGTAACCTTCACCAAACCTTATTTTGCATGTTTTAGTGTAATTTAAAATTTTGCCAGATCAATCAAATAATGAGTTGAGAAAGAAATTGTATTGTTCACTACTCAAATTGTGAGGTGAAGTCAAACGCAGTGCATTGTGGGGTACAGTACACTTCAGCAAAAGTAGAAATAATGCTGTTTCCGAACATAGCCACACTATACGACAAGCTTTTTTTCCTGTGTTTATGTGTGTTTTCATCTATAGTCTCGTTTAATAATCGCGTTTACCAAAAAACTGTGCACTCACTGATATTTAGACTGATAGCTGTCTATATTTGTTTTAGAAATGCAACTCAATAAGTGGGTAACTGCTTTGTGTGCGGTAAATTATGAAGTTTCAGTGATTGACTGTAGTGGAAGAAAAGCTGTAGTTTTGTACTCTAATGTTCCCAATAATTTACAGTATGCCTTAACTTTACACAACTCTTTAATTCTGAGTTAGTGATGTGAGTTTGTAATGTTCACGAAACAAGGACCCTGACTGGCTGAACAGTCGTTTCAATACTGTGCTTTCTCTCTGTAATACAAAACTTTTGTGTCAATAAATGAGGGGTGAATTTAATAAACTTTTTTTTTTTTTTCCAGAATAAACAAACTGATATATACAAATTACACGGTCATTATCCACTAGCAAAAGGAAGTTGTGAAAAATGGGTTAGGGTTAGTCTAAACTATGTTAATTTTGGAACAGGTCTCTCACAGTGAGATTCTGGTGTGACGTCTGATTTTACCAAATGTGTGAATCATAACTTTTAGAAATGTAAATTTTGGTTTTCATGAATGTGAAAAGAAAAGTGATTTTTTTATATATATATATATATAAAACTTATAAATGTCACATTCACAAATGTAAATGTTCTAAACGCAATCCACCTTTTTAAAGACTTACGTCATAATCTAAAGCCACGCCCACCGGGAAACAACCCAACCGTCTCCATGGACTTTGCATTGCGAAACTGCATCCTTGTCATTTCTGACATAACAAAAAACAAAATTATGTCTAAAAGCTGATATGACAAGGTGTACACAAACAAGCTAAAAAGAGAAAAGAAATAAGTTTTCATACGCTGTCGATCCCAAAAGACCACTCAATGAGGATGCACTAAAAATACACTACAGTTAATCACTGGTAAGTCAAATATCCAAATGTCAGTTTTACATTATATTTCTGTAAGCAAGCTTGTCGTCGATTTAGATCTCAGACACGTTGCGCTCTGTCTAGCTGTATTCGCTAAATAATGCTTTCAAGGCTCAGAAATCCATGTGATACCCCATTATAATGAAGTGACATGGGAGTTTTTTCCACTTTGTGTCCTTATAACGCTCTTTTCTGGGGGTCTACAGCTTATATAAACTTATTTCTGGGTTGTTTATGTTTGCTGGACACCTTGTCGCAGCTTTTAGATATTGTTTTTTTGTTATAAATCATAAATGACGAGGAAGCAGCTTCACACCGATTGTTTTATGGGGCGTGGCCTACAAGCTGTCTCTGTGAGGCTCCACCCACTCCCCTCCCTCTATTGTGACGCATGCCTGACAGCTGCGCAGCTCCGCCGCCATTTTCTTCCCCTCAGTGGACCCGAGCAGAGCTGTCGAACCGAGCTCTCGTTCCGGAGCGTTCCCCTCAAACCCGTTATATTCTCACCGGGCTTTAGATCGCGATGCCGGCCCACCCGTTGCGTGTCGCGGTCGTGTGCTCCAGCAACCAGAACCGCAGCATGGAAGCGCACAACATCCTGAGGTAACAACGAGGGAAAAAAACAGCCGAACTTGAGCCGGTTTCTTCTTTATTTCGTCGTTTTGTATTTTCACACGGTCCAAAAGCGGATCGGATTCGAACCGGGCCAGTCAGATCGCGAGAAACGAACCGAGGGGGCTCGCGAGGATCATTACATAAACATTTTTCACATTTACGCCAGTTTTTTTTTTTTTTTTTTTTTTACAAAAGAAACGCGTCGAGCAACACGGAAGCAGATGAAGATCGTCTAAAAGAGTACAATTAAAAAAAGAACGTTCTGTAAATAGTAGTTAGACCAACTAAATTATAAAAGACTTTTATTTTTATATTTGTACTAGTAATGGTTCCCTCACTTAAACGCAGTACCCTAGTGGTACATCAGTTGGTAATACCACGGTACGACTGATCCATTTCCACATTTATAGAACATGGTAATTTGTGGTATTTTAAATAATAATACCACAGTACATGTCCTAAATCCATGCTAGCTTTTTATTAGCCAGATAAAGTTAGATAATCTCATTTTAGAAAATGGGAAATCTCAGGTGAGTAGTGCTATATTCAGTGGCTGGTTGTACATGGCTTAAGAATAGTAAAAAAACAACAACTAGTCGTCTAAATTTAAGACTGGTCATAATTTTATTAATTCAGTTACTTAAAGATAGATTTCCTATTCAAGTTAGACCAAAGACTAGTTAGCGACACAATCTAGGCTAGTTGACGCTAGGTTTATCCAGGTGAGGTAAGTCTCCTCCGGTTGAACAGGTGTTCTCGTGTGTGTGTGTGTGTTTGCTGTTCTGCTCTCCTGTGGTTTCTCACTGTCTCTTTGTTATTCCTACAGCAAGCGAGGGTTCGACGTGCGTTCCTTCGGCACAGGAACCCACGTGAAACTCCCGGGACCCGCTCCGGACAAACCCAACATTTATGACTTCAAAACCACTTATGAGCAGATGTACAACGACCTGGTCCGTAAAGACAAGGAACTGTATCCCTAGCACACACACACACACACACCTGACAGGGAAGATCCACACTGACCCCGCTTAACATGACTCGCACACTGGGTTAAAAGAGTCCACTGTGGACGCCTGTATAGTTATGGTTACTGAACGGCCCTTTATCTTAGCAACTCCAATATAATGCATGGGTTAAAGCGCAATAACCTCAGTCCTGCTTTAACTGAGAAGTGACATCTCTCCTGAACTCCATGTGAAATATAATCCTCACACTGATCCAGTGACGTGCCTTTATCAGTTCCTTTATCAACCCGTGACTCTTGAAGGGACGTTACAGATATTTCATCACTCACTCGCTCCAAAGCTCTGCGTCTGTCCATCTGTGGAACATTAATACGGTATTATGAAGAACGCCAATGGGTATCTCCTTTAGTGTTCTCCATAAGAAAGTGTGTGGCGACGCGAGTAAAGCAACAGCCTTAAAGGGTTAATTCACCCACACATGTCAGTTCTGTCATTAATCACTCATGGCGTTCAGTCTACCATGTGACTCGGGGATTTAACCCCAGTTTAATAAAGAGACGCGGATGCTTTCTTTGAGAAAAAAAACAACAAAAACATAATATACCACCTTTTTTTTGTTTTTACTAAATATGAATCTGCCGCTCGTTCACGAGAGCATCGTGAGCCTTGTGTTGTCGACACTAGCAGATGTTGCGTGAACGTGTGTTTGAGTTATATTTTGTAAACAAAGTGTTTTTTGCACACGCGCCGCAGGGTAATCTTTAATTTGTGTCCCTGATACAGGTTTGAAACGACACGGGTGATTGACAGAACTGACGTGTGGGTGAATTAACCCTTTAAGGGTGTTGCTTTACTTTCTTCTGGAGAACACTAAAGGAGAGTTTGAGGAATGTTGGGGACCACACAATACTGGACCCCATTGACGTTCTTCTGAATACCGTATTTTAATGTTCCACAGAAGGACATGGATGATGATATTTGGGTGAACTGTACCTTTAAATCCACGTATTAATAATTTTAATTGCACACACGAAAATGCATCCCAGTTCATTGACAGACATTGTGACGCGTGTAGTACAGTACACGTCCTCTGGGGTCATTACTGTCGCTCTACTCATCATTCGCTTCACATGAGCGCACACACAGATTTCTTCCTCTGGCGCGTCACTGGAAGCTGTTCGATGATCTCGGTGATGTTTAAGCAGAGCGGATTAAAACAACCACAGGGTTCACATGAAGTCGAGCGGGAGAATGTGAAGAATATAAACTCTGCTGTATAAAGTATTATCAAACATGTTGGGAAAGCTTTAGCTGTCGTTCCTCTGAAGCGTCGAGACGAGTGCTGAAGAGTTCAGTCAGGACAGTGAGAGATGGTGTGTGTGGACTACACGCTTGCTTTGCAGTGCAGACGTGTTTACACATGCTGAGATAAAATGGCTGAAAAAGTTTCCCTGAAAAAGGCTGAAAAACCTTTTTTTTATTTTTTATTTTTATTTTTTATAAACTGTATTGCAGAAATAAGAATTTTCCTGAAACTTGATTTGCACTAAAAAGAAATGAGGTAAAAAATAACTAGCTAACTGAATAACAATCAGTTTACTTTAATAGTGATTTCCAAGACTTCAGGAAGAGTAGCAGTGCAAAGAACAACCTTTTTTTTTTTTTTTTTGAGAGTTTACATGAATTATTTGCATTTCCAGATATCATTTATGTTTGAACACTAGTTATGAATGCTGATCTACATTCTCTCCCTCACATTGTTTTATTCACACAATAAAATTACGGTGATTCCTGCCATTTTGAAATGAATTTAAGAATAATGTAACTATACTGTGGCACAGAAGTGATTGCACATGTTGACCAGCAGATGGCGCTAGTGAGCAAGTTTCCACTGTTTTAACCCTTTGTGAGCAGTTTGATCTGATGTGAGAGTGTTTGGTGTCTCTGTTTTGTCTTCCTTGACCGCTGATCCTCCTCAGATACACACAGAATGGCATCTTACACATGTTAGACCGCAACAAGCGCATTAAGTCTCGCCCTGAACGCTTCCAGAGCTGCAAAGACCAGTTTGACCTGGTGATCACCTGTGAGGAGCGCGTGTACGACCAGGTGCTGGAGGGTGAGGAGCACGTCTGCTGTTGAGTTACGCACCGGCTCGAGCCGCACAATAACCCCTCGTCTCTTTCAGACCTGAACTCGCGCGAGCAGGAGACCTTCCAGCCGGTGCACGTCATCAACGTGGACATCCAGGACAACCACGAGGAGGCCACGCTGGGAGCCTTCCTCATCTGTGAACTCTGCCAGTGTGTGAGTAAAGTCCAGGCCGTGACCTGAGCTCACACAACCATCCTCAATATAACAGTTCACAACTCGCTGTGACCATAACAGCACAGGAGCAATATTGCTGCAATTTTTTTTTTTCAGCTGATGAACAATAAAAACATTGACAGCCAATCAGAATCCATGCTGCTTTAAAGAGCTTGAGCGTTTAGAGAGGCAGACTGCAAACTGCAGCGCTTATAATAAACGGTGATATCCCTCAGTGTGGACGCTAATATAGTTATCGTTATAGTTATCGTCCGCTGGTGTGAACACTAATATAGTTATCGTTATAGTTATCGTCCGCTGGTGTGAACGCTAATATAGTTATCGTTATAGTTATCGTCTGCTGATGTGAACACTAATATAGTTATCGTTATAGTTATCGTCAGCTGGTGTGAACGCTAATATAGTTATCGTTATAGTTATCGTCCGCTGGTGTGAACGCTAATATAGTTATCGTTATAGTTATCGTCCGCTGGGGTGAACACTAATATAGTTATCGTTATAGTTATCGTCCGCTGGTGTGAACGCTAATATAGTTATCGTTATAGTTATCGTCCGCTGGTGTGAACACTAATATAGTTATCGTTATAGTTATCGTCAGCTGGTGTGAACGCTAATATAGTTATCGTTATAGTTATCGTCCGCTGGTGTGAACACTAATATAGTTATCGTTATAGTTATCGTCCGCTGGTGCGAACACTAATATCGTTATAGTTATCGTTATAGTTATCGTCCGCTGGTGTGAACACTAATATCGTTATAGTTATCGTTATAGTTATCGTCCGCTGGTGTGAACACTAATATCGTTATAGTTATCGTCCGCTGGTGTGAACGCTAATATAGTTATCGTTATAGTTATCGTCCGCTGGTGTGAACACTAATATAGTTATCGTTATAGTTATCGTCCGCTGGTGTGGACGCTAATATAGTTATCGTTATAGTTATCGTCCGCTGGTGTGGACACTAATATAGTTATCGTTATAGTTATCGTTATAGTTATCGTCCGCTGGTGTGAACTCTAATATAGCTATCGTTATAGTTATAGTTATCGTCCGCTGGTGTGAACACTAATATCGTTATAGTTATAGTTATCGTTCTAGTTATCGTCCGCTGGTGTGAACACTAATATAGCTATCGTTATAGTTATCGTCCGCTGGTGTGAACACTAATATCGTTATAGTTATCGTCCGCTGGTGTGAACGCTAATATAGTTATCGTTATAGTTATCGTCCGCTGGTGTGAACACTAATATAGTTATCGTTATAGTTATCGTCCGCTGGTGTGAACACTAATATAGTTATCGTTATAGTTATCGTCCGCTGGGGTGAACACTAATATAGTTATCGTTATAGTTATCGTCCGCTGGTGTGAACACTAATATAGTTATCGTTATAGTTATCGTCCGCTGGTGTGAACACTAATATAGTTATCGTTATAGTTATCGTCCGCTGGGGTGAACACTAATATAGTTATTGTTATAGTTATCGTCCGCTGGTGTGAACACTAAAATAGTTATCGTTATAGTTATCGTCCGCTGGGGTGAACACTAATATAGTTATCGTTATAGTTATCGTCCGCTGGGGTGAACACTAATATAGTTATTGTTATAGTTATCGTCCGCTGGTGTGAACACTAAAATAGTTATCGTTATAGTTATCGTCCGCTGGTGTGAACACTAATATAGTTATCGTTATAGTTATCGTCCGCTGGGGTGAACACTAATATAGTTATCGTTATAGTTATCGTCCGCTGGGGTGAACACTAATATAGTTAGGGTTACAGTGATTTCAACTTATTCGTTCAGCTCGTATGCAAATGTCGAATAACCCCGTGTCTCCTGTCAAATCGAGCACACCGACGACATGGAGAACGAGATCACACACATGCGTTCAGCTCGTATGCTAAGTTTGGTGTGTTTAGCTCGTATGCTAACGTCGAATAACCTCGTGTCTCCTGTCAGATCCAGCACACAGACGACATGGAGAACGAGATCGACGAGCTGCTGCAGGAGTTCGAGGACAAAAGCCACCGGCCGTTCCTGCACACCGTCTGCTTCTACTGAACGCTGGCGGAGATCGGCCTCGCTCGTCTGTTTACCGCCAACACACACCTCAGTCCTGACCGAGAGCAGCACACACGCGCGCCAGCCGGGACTGTGTGCCTACGCTGGGACGGACTCCGCATCGGATCATGTTTAAAGATGTTTATTTTGAGGATGTAACGTTTAATAACTCTGGCCGACGGGACGTGATATACTTTTTGAGTTTCTCATGAATTTCTTTCCTCGTTATTTAAACATGGGATTTGATACCTATATTGAATATATTTTGTTTGGTTTTTTTTTCTTTAATTTTGTAAATGAAAGGATGATCGTGTAATCGTACCTGAAGCAGCCCAGAGTGCCTGAAATTATTCTTGTAAATATTGCGCTATAAATGAATGAATGAATGAATAAAGCGTTGATGAATCTCAGAGTTTGTGTCTCCAGTAAAGATGTTGCGATATCAGTGTTCAACATGTCTTAGCCATGAATAACATTTCAGTTCTAAGCAAGTTGAAGTTTTTAAAAATGTGTATTTTGATCCACCATTTTTCCTCTGTTCCCAAGCGTTTCCACGGTAAAACAACACTTAATAGATAGGTGATTTCTTGTTCTTATCAGTAAAGATTCACTCTGATGTGTTCAATTTTTCATTTTATTTTAGCCATTATACTCAAGGATTTTAGTTTGTCCCTCACTTTATGGTCCACCCTTTTCTTTTTGACTACTTTCCTTTTAAGAGAAATTATATGACATCACACAAGGCTGACATCACTTCTCCGGAGGGAAAGTGAGTGTCTCTTCACCAGTGTAATCGTCCACATCTGATGGCCGTCCGCCCGGATGAAAACTCCCAGTGTAAAGGCCATGCAGTCGTCCATCAGATTACCTGTGTCCTCTTGTGTTTCATAGTGGCTGATTCTAGATCAGAGGATCCACCCTGTCATATCTGACTGAACTTATTTATGTTTCTATTTAAAGTTATTTGGCAATCTTGTACATATTGTTCATATCTAAAACCAGTTCAAACTAAAGGAAGGATGTAACTGGTTATGTGGGCGATCGGACATCCATTCGAAATACATCCATTCTTCATATCACTCTGTTCTGTAACTTATTATTACTCTGTTCTGTTATCCATTCTGTTATTATTTTTCCCATTCTGTCATCAGTTTGTCCATCCTGTTGAGTAATTTATTTATTTATTTACAATAATTTCATAAAACTAGCAAAAAAAACTTACTAATAATTCACTGACAAATAAAGTTTTCTGGAAGATCAATAACACAGTACTTAAAAAGAAATACAATTCATATTTTCTCATATTTTATTAACTGGTTTTAGAGGTACACGAGTTGTCACAGCCCATAAATGACCATCATAGTGAAACTTGTTTCATATTTTCCATATAACAGGGTGGACTTTTTTTTATCATCCATTTAATTTATTTTGCTTAATAAATGGTTCAGTTCATGTTGCACATCACCCTATCGTGGCTACACAAAAACATCTTTTAAAATTTTCCACATGTGTGTAGCCTATGGCAAACGGCACAGGGACGAGCCTTATCGTGCGTTACTGGTGTGAACGCGCCTTAAATGTCCAGAATAACACGGTAATGCATTAAAAAACAAAGCTGTAATATCCATGTGGTGTAAAACATGGCATTACCACGGTTTTCTCTTAGGCGTCGCGAGGCTCTGATATTCCAGATGAGCGTGACGCAGGAGTTCCTCATTAAGCTAATGGACTGATCTGAGATCTGATACAGTCCAACTCCAGATCACTTACAGATCACATCAGCGCGTCGCGATCCTCTGTTCTCCTGCCCGAGGCGTCGATCGCGCGCCGACGCGCCGCAGGTGAGACATCTGATGCTCTTCATGACGCGTCGCGAACACACGCGAGGAAGATGATGAAGAGGAAGAGGATGATGATGTGAATCTGAGGAGGATTCGCTGCTGGAATGATCTACGATGGTGGTCAATGATATCTCGATCTGTGTTGTTGTTGTTGTTGTTGTTTGCGGAGTGCGATGAAGATGATGTTTATGTCCTGTGATGAAGATGTGCGCGATGTTTGGACTGTGATGAAGAGGATGTTTGCGGTGTGTGGATGAAGATGATGTTTATGGTGACTGGAGCGGTTCTGGTGCTGGTAAGAAGACCTGTGTGAAGATTCTGCTGAGGAATATTACATAACTCTCTCTCTCACAGTGACTGCAGATCAACTTTATTACTAATTGTATGGTTTTCTGTGGAGAAACGTGTTGAAATGCATTTTTAAACGCTAAGCGCTGGGAAATGGCAGTAGTTTTGGTGTTTTCCAGGCCATCGTGTGTATGTCCGACATGAACGCGCTGCTGGACCGATTTCACAACTTCATCCTGCCGCGCATGCGCGGACCCGAGCGCGTGTGTCACTGTACCTGCGGCAGGTAAGAAACACTTTAGTTTTATTCGCTTACTAGAGACGCCCATAACTAGATACAAATGAGGGCAAATACAGCTTATTATTTAAATATTAAATTTCAGATTTACGAGTTATTTTGAGCCGCGTCACATTTACAGACGCTCAGCGGAATTTCCCGGGGAAATTCCATTCATTCCAATGGGAATCCGAACGTTCGGGAGTTTCGCGGGAAAAGTTTCCCACGCAGATTTCTCTGTTGTCTGGTCACGTGATTTATGCTCCCTTCACCTGCTATAGGAAATTTCCTACTTCCCACTTCTGAAGTCGTGAACACAACCCAGACAGCAAACTGACATTGAATCAACGTGGAAACGACGTCTCTCATGACATTGAAACAATTGATTTGCTCATCGAATTAACGTTGAACCAACGTCAGACACGGCATTCTTCAAAGCTAAATAAAAATCGAAAATTGGTTTGCTTTCATAACATTGAAACAACGCGTTGATTTCAAGTTGATTTTCCGTTAGTTTTGAAAGAATGACGCGTCTGACGTTGGTTCATTGTTAATTCGATGAGCAAAACAATGTCAGATCAACGTTGTTTCGATGTCATATTTCCACGTTGATTCAATGTCAGTTTGCTATCTGGGAAGCGTATCGCATTAAAGTTTTGAGAGGGTGTTTTTAACAAGAAAACTAGTTACGATAATTCTGATAGCCGCGCGAAAGCTGCATACAAATAAACTTTTATGATTGAGCAGTTTTCACTGGATTATTGCTAATATGAGCGCACTTTCATGCTTGGATCAGTTTTCTGTAACAACACAGATGTTACTTTCATTTAAGGGGCGTTTAAACGACACAATTTTTAACTAACAAACGTAATTGTTTTTTTCCGGCAATTTGGTCGTTCATTTACATGAGAAGCACGTTTTGGGGTTCTGAAAACGCAAACTTTTAAAAACAGGGTTCAAAGTGCAAGTTTTTGAAAACGAAACGTTATCGTTTCTGTGTAAACTATAAAAACACGAATTTATGGAAACGGTGACCTCATTCACATGTTTATAACGTGTTAAGTTTATAGGCGCTAGTGTTTCTTTACAGTGTGACATCGCCATCTACTGGCCTGACAGCAGAATACAGAGATTTTAGTCGTTTCACAGATCCGTGTTTTTGTCTGTATGAGAACCCAGATAGCAAACTGACATTGAATCAACGTGGAAATATGACATCGAAACAACGTTGATCTGACATTGTTTTGCTCATCGAATTAACGTTGAACCAACGTCAGGCGCGTCATTCTTTCAAAACTAACGGAAAATCAACTTGAAATCAACGCGTTATTTCAACGTTATGAAAGCAAACCAATTTTCGATTTTCATTTAGCTTTGAAGAATGCCGCATCTGACGTTGGTTCAACGTTAATTCGATGAGCAAAATCAACGTTGTTTCAATGTCATGAGAGACGTCGTTTCCACGTTGATTCAATGTCAGTTTGCTGTCTGGGATGTTTATAACGTGTTAAGTTTATAGGCGCGTGTGTTTCTTTACAGTGTGACATCGCCATCTACTGGCCTGACAGCAGAATACAGCGATTTTTAGTCGTTTCGCAGATCCGTGTTTTTGTCTGTACGAGAAAGACGCTAAGGAAAAACTTTTTCCATTTTTAGTACATTGTTGTCGTGTAATCGCACCCTAATTAAGGGAAAGTGACGCCTTTGCGCTAGTCATGATGGTTATGGGGTTGTTTCTAGGCTAGGCAAGATGCTAATTGTTGAAGTTTTACAAACAAGCGTTTTATTAACAACCCAGAAAACAAGAAACGTTCTCTCAAAGTTATGAACAAACGTTTTTCCAGTAACGTTAATAGAACATTTGTGCAAAGTTATCTGGTCTTTGATAATGTTCTAAAAACGTTCAATCCTCGTACTGTACACTGCAGAAAATGATCGCTGTTTTAACGGTAAAAGACCTACTGAAAAGCTGTCTAATAGGACATTTCATACAATTCTACTGTAACATATTGTTAGATGGAAACATTCGTCATCTTATAGTTTACAGGTAGAAGTAACTTGACAGTAAAAGTTTTCCAGTGAAATAACCTAATGATTAAGAATCTTAACCTAAAATGGTTCTTCAATGCAGAAACACCCGTTTGGCAGGTTTGAAGGGTTTTTTAGTGTGTGTTTATTGGGATGTTCTCCTCGTCCTCGCGCAGACATCTTGTGGAGCACGTGATCCCGTACGAGGCCTCGGTCTCCCTCGGCTCCTCGGCCGGCAGCAGCGTCAGCAAGCAGGAGCTGGATCTGGTGCTCGGGCTCCTGATGGGCTTCTGCATCAGCTGGATCCTGCTGTGGCTCGACGGGGCGCTTCACTGCGCACTGCGCTTCTGGAGGACCAGCAGAGCCTGCGGTGAGTGTGTGTGTGTGTGTGTGTGTGTGCTCTGCCGAGAGACTGACCACAGGTGTGTGTGTGTGTGTGTTTCAGGTGCAGACGGTGAGCTGTGGCACTCGTGGCGTTGGGTGTGTCGTGTGTGTAACCTGAGGGAGCTGCGCAGACGCTTGCAGACGCGCCGCACGCCGGAGGACTCTGGGAATAACGTGGTTCACGTCAAGCAGAAGCTTTACCACAACGGCCACCCGAGCCCCCGCAGACTCTGACACACACACACACACACACACACTTATCCTCATGTTCTCAGTGTTTCTGCTTGCTGTGTGTGTTTCACAGGGGTTGTGTGTGTTAGTTTTGTAGGGGTCTTCCCGTCACCTGAGGGGGGTTTGCATTTTTTAGACCAATCTTTGTGTACCGGGTAACAGTGTCTGTTTTAGAAACAAGGCATGCTGGGTAATCTCTGATGTTTAGCTGGCGTCTGACGGCCAGAGAGTCAATCTGCTGCTGTATTCAGTGTGTGTGTGACATTAAACTGATGGAGGACAAATCAAGACGTTCTTCATGAAATATTACTGTGTGTTTGGAGTCTTGATGCTCTCGTATTTTTACGTATTTTTTTTAATTTTTTATGTTTAACGATCACCCAAAATCAACATTAAACCTAACAACTTAAAGTCTAAAAGTTTTAAATTAAATCTTTTCATATTTCATCAAGTTTTAAATCGAGATGTTTGACTGTAACATACCATAGATTGTTTAGCAATAAACACACACACACACTCTCGTACACAAGCAACGTCTTCCAGATGTAAACACACACACATCAAATAGACGTCTCTGTGATGTACATGTACTATATAACCTTTCTAATAATAATGTGTTTATATTCAGCGGTCATTAAACTGTCACCTCACATGAAATATGAGTCATAATAGCACAGCGTGAACCGGATGTTGTTGAGTGGGGGGCTTTTATTCTGTTTCGCCTGCGGGCGGAAGCGGAAGTGCAGTGATGTGTCGGTGGTGTTGCAGTGATGATGGCGGACACTAGCGCACTGTATGAGTCGGTGGTGTGTGTGAAGCCAGAGGTTCATGTTTACCGAATCCCGCCCAGAAGCTCCAACCGCGGATACCGGTGAGACAGTCCGCGGCACTAACGTTACTTTAACTAGTTTAATCACGAGTTAATCACTGATCATGTGACACTGGTCTCACTTCGAGTTCCTACCTCAACAAACACACGCATAATTAATCCGGTGTGTGATGAGTTGGTGTTTGTTATCCGGCGATCACATGATCAGATCAATAATGCGTCAGAACAACTGCTGTCAACAACAGAAACTTGAATATTAATGAGGGAAACGTGATGTTTCGTCACACTACTGTATCAAACACTGATATAATAGGAGAATAAACGCCATGTTTGTGGTCAGCTGGATTATTATATGGTTATGGACGTCACGAAAGAGAAGCTGTGCTCGAAAACTTCTCTGGCACAGAAACACATGTGGGCGGGGCTTGATTGTGTCCTTGGGGATTTGATTGGATTGTTGTGGTTTACTATTGGCTGATGTCATGTGAGTGACAGGTTGCCCCGCCCTCGTCATCAGAGAAGAGAGGCTGCAAGAGGAACTGATTCTGATGCGAGATTATTAAAATGATATTGATATAGAATATTAAATAACCAGGAAGATCAATTTAACACACTAATAAATCATTTAGAACAAACACTGCAGCATTTATTTTGATTTGGTGGCGTTTAATATTTTATAAGTGAGTGATAATGTACATCCAGCCATTTGTTATCTCAGAATAAACCCCTACAGGTGTGTGTGTGTGTGTGTGTGTGAGGGTTTATTCTGAGATAATAACCGGCTGGATGTACATTATCCTGGTCATCACGCGATTACTTGTCACATCAGTGAATAACTAGACAGGAAATACTGATCTGTGTTGAAATATTATCTCCTTAAACGCAAAGTTTGCGTGGAGAGAGCCATTTCAGCGGCGAGATTTGAGAGATACGGTCATTCATAGCATTTCAACACATTAATAATTATGGAGATCAGAGATATCGAGAGATGTCGCGTTTGTGTGAAACGACAGCGAGTCCACGAAACCGTTAATAAAGACTGAATTTTAAAACTTCCATGAAGAAAAAGCGCCTGAGTTTCTGTGTTCTGCTGTTACCTGGGAATAACATGCGGTGCGATTGACCAATCAGAATGGAGCATTCCACCGAGTCGTGTGATGATGTTTCAGGGCGGCGGACTGGAAGCTGGACGAGCCGGCGTGGAGCGGACGAATGAAGATCACAGCTAAAGGAACAGCAGTCTACATCAAACTAGAGGACAAAAACACAGGTGAACACACACACACACACACTCACACTCACTCACTCACTCTTACTCACACAGGTGTGTGTCATGTGATCAGGTGAGCTGTTCGCTCAGGCTCCGGTGGATCAGTATCCGGGCAGCGCAGTCGAGGCCGTCACCGACTCCAGCCGATACTTCGTCGTCAGGATCGAGGATGGAAACGGTGTGTGTGTGAACGTGCATAAGTGTGTGTATATGATGTTCATTCTCCCTGTGATGATGAACGAGTGTGTTTTGTGACTCTCAGGGCGTCACGCATTCATCGGCCTCGGTTTCGCCGACCGCGGGGATTCCTTCGATTTCAACGTGGCGCTCCAGGATCATTTCAAGTGAGTTGTTCAGCCTGACCTTTGACCTCTGATGTCACGAGCCGTCTCTGATGTCATGACCCGTCTCTCACAGGTGGGTGAAACAGGAAAGTGAGTTTGCCCGACAGGAAGCCACGCAGGATTCGGTGCCGAAGCTGGACTTGGGCTTCAAAGAGGGTCAGACCATCAAGATCAACATCGGGGTGAGCGAAGCCGTCGAGATCCTGGCGTAATCCTGCGTCACGCACCAAAAATGGCACCGAAATTCAAGAAATGGGGCAAAAAATGGATGTAGCTGGTTAACCAAACACACAGTACAACTATTATGAGTTTTCTAACAACATATTGATTTTTAAATGAATCAGTGATAAACGAACGAATCTAATGAACGATTCAATGACTCACTCGTCAGTTGCTAAATCAGACAGACAGACAGATAGATAGGCAGATAGACAGGTGTTGACTTCTGTCTATCTCTCAGAACATAAAGAAGAAGGAGTCGAGTGGGCCGGTGAAGTCTCGAGCGGCGGGTGGTCTGCTTCCTCCTCCTCCCGGTGTGAAGGCCAGCACTCTCGTTCCTCCACTCGCAGTTCAGCAGTCGATACCTGTCGCTCCCCCCCGCACAGGTGAGACGCTCAGATCCGGTGTACTTATAACAGTCCTCGTTGGGTTTGGCTAATATGAGGCTCCTCCCCTTTTAGCGACACTGTTGGACATTGGAGACTCCGCCCATGCCGTGGCCCCGCCCTCTCAAGACCTGTGGGGGGATTTCACTGCGGCAGGACCTGGGTCAGTGTGACTGTCTGTCTGTCTGTCTGTCTATATATCTGTCTGTCTGTCTATCTGTCTGTCTGTCTATCTGTCTGTCTATCTATATATCTGTCTGTCTGTCTATCTATATATCTGTCTGTCTGTCTGTCTATATATCTGTCTGTCTGTCTATCTATATATCTGTCTGTCTGTCTATCTATATATCTGTCTGTCTGTCTGTCTATATATCTGTCTGTCTGTCTGTCTATATATCTGTCTGTCTGTCTATATATCTGTCTGTCTGTCTATATATCTGTCTGTCTGTCTGTCTATCTGTCTGTCTATATATCTGTCTGTCTGTCTGTCTATCTATATATCTGTCTGTCTGCCTGTCTGTCTGTCTGTCTGCCTGTCTGTCTATCTGTCTGTCTGTCTGTCTGTCTATCTATATATCTGTCTGCCTGTCTGTCTGTCTATCTAACTGTCTGTCTATCTATCTATCTATCTATCTATCTGTCTGTCTGTCTATCTATATATCTGTCTGTCTATATATCTGTCTGTCTGTCTGTCTGCCTGTCTATATATCTGTCTGTCTGTCTATCTAACTGTCTGTCTGTCTATGTGTCTGTCTGTCTATATATCTGTCTGTCTGTCTATATATCTGTCTGTCTGTCTGTCTATCTAACTGTTTGTCTGTCTGTCTATCTAACTGTCTGTCTGTCTAACTGTCTGTCTATCTATCTATCTATCTGTCTGTCTGTCTATCTATATATCTGTCTGTCTGTCTGTCTGTCTATATATCTGTCTGTCTGTCTATCTAACTGTCTGTCTGTCTGTCTATCTAACTGTCTGTCTATATATCTGTCTGTCTATATATCTGTCTGTCTGTCTATATATCTGTCTGTCTATCTAACTGTCTGTCTGTCTGTCTATCTAACTGTCTGTCTGTCTATGTGTCTGTCGGTCTATCTAACTGTCTGTCTGTCTATGTGTCTGTCTATCTGTCTTTCTATCTGTCTGTCTATCTAACTGTCTGTCTGTCTATGTGTCTTGTCTATATATCTGTCTGTCTATCTATCTATCTGTCTGTCTGTCTATCTAACTGTCTGTCTGTCTGTCTATATATCTGTCTGTCTATATAATCTGTCTGTCTATCTATCTGTCTGTCTGTCTGTCTGTCTGTCTAACTGTCTGTCTGTCTATGTGTCTGTCTGTCTGTCTATCTGTCTGTCTATCTATCTATCTGTCTGTCTGTCTGTCTATCTGTCTGTCTATTTATCTGTCTATCCGTCTGTCTGTCTGTCTATCTGTCTGTCTGTCTGTCTGTCTGCAGTGTCTCACTCTCTGATGTTTTGATAATCGATGTGTGTTCGACAGGTCCACGCAGGACACGCGGTCGGAATGGGTGCAGTTCTAGCGTCTTTGGAAAGGGATCGTGAGAATGTGACGACACATGGACGCTGTTTTTCCACGGATATTTCTATGCAATCGGCCTGCGGTCGCTGATATTCGCTGCATTCCAGCCGCTGTCGAGTTTGAAACGTTTCTCGTTAGTTATTCACACGCGGCTTCGTTTAATGTGACGAGTCGTCAGTATCATGTCTCGTTTTCCTCTGTCTCGGCTTGATGTTAAAGCTGAAGTGTGTCATAATAACTGTTATCGGACAGGTTTCCTGATTACTCGCCCCCATCAGCCATTGGTCGTTAATCAGGTGGCCCCGCCCATAAACTCGCATCATTGGCTGAGCCAGAAGTTTACAGGACAACTAAAGAGAGTCAAAGTGTTTACAGGAAGTTCATGAAGTTGTGACTTCCTGATAGTGACTCGCCATTAGTCTGTTAGTATTTGAAGATCCAAACGAACGACACACTTCAGCTTTAAAGCTTTCCATGTCGGTGAGATTTTCTTTCTTTTACTTCCTCATGTGTTTTCTGTGCGTCATGTGATCTGTCTGACTCAAACTGCTATTTTCACTCGGATCAGGATTTGAAGAGCTTATTTTATGTGTTTATAAGCAGATGATTTTTCATCTTATACATTTTAAACTAACCCCAGACTTTATTCGCTTTATTTCCTGGTGACTACAGTTTTATTCTTGATATTGTCAGTAATTATAAAAGTCTGAATCTTTCCTTCAAGTGCCTTTATGAAACACATGTAGAATGTACAAATGATGGTTTATATATGAATAAACCGTTTCCTGATATACAGTGTCATATTTTTTGCGGTAATACTGAATGTGCTGATTCCTTGAACTTAATAATTCAGAATAAGTGACGCCCTCAAGTAAGGATTATTAGTTATAATTAATTATCAAATTATCTGTATGATATGTGCGAATTCAACATGAGTGTGATGGTTTCCATAGTTATGGTTTTGTTGTAGTTTCAGGTGTGTGAATGAGAGCTGTTGATTCGCCAGGTGAGTTTGTACATAAGTTGACTACTCTTATAAATATTAATGAATCTGAATGGATTTGAATTAATGTAAGTTATCGAATCAGATGTCTTTAAATTCATCTGTTCGCATTGGTAAGTGTCATTTTACACAGAATTAACTGTACAGTCCTTTGACACGTGAAAGATTGGTTTCTGTATGTAAAATCCCGATTGTTCCGCAGTGATTTGGGGTCTTTTATATGCGCGGGAAGTAAGTGTGACCCCGGAAAGAGTCCAGACTGAGCATCACACAGACACAAATACTTTCATTACGAGTTTAAAGCGCTTTTAATGTGGATTTGCCGGTAAGATCACGCGTTATTTTCTCCGTGTTCGTGCGATTGGTGTTGAATGCGTTCGCGAATGAGTGAGTGATTGAATTATTAATAAATGTAATCGATAATTTGTCATGAGTGAATAAAAATCATGTGTTCATAAACTCGTTGAATATGAATATATTCATGTAACTGTCCAGCGTCGTGCACTGCATCTCTCGACTGCGTGCATCCGGAGAGTTTGCGAGTTTTTGTGAGAGTCGATCGATTTGAATCCCATTTTCACATAAAATAAGTACTCAAATGGTAGATTACAACATGGAAACCTGCTGATTTTATAAAAGCAGCGGTATTTTTGATGTCGCGCCGTGGATGTGGAGGAGTTTGTAGTTCCTGTCAGAGATTTAAACGCTGTAGTTCCCAATCCCGCCTCAGGGGGCGCACGAGCCGCATTCACAATCAAATCGCTTTGATTTAAGACAAACCCAAAAAATACAATCACTTAAAAACATATATTTGACGAATTAACACCTTGTATATTAAATATCAACTTTGACTCTTTAAAAAAAATCCTCAGAACAATAATCAATCTGACTCGATTTCTGTTGACGGTTGCCGTGTGTTGATGGGTTGTTGTCATGGTGATGGTTTTTATTGTACACAATCAAATGAACTTACGTTAAACGTCACCAATAAAAAAAGCGTATCACCTTTGTTTTATTAGTTATTTTATTGTCGCTGTTTCAGTTTCTCTTTTGAATCCGCTTGAGCTTCGTGTGTATAATCTCACTCAATCTTATTAAAGCCCCCCTCTCTCTCTCTTTCACACACACACACACACACACACACTCTCTCTCGCTCTCTCCTCAGTGTGTTTGCGGGTCTGTTCGGGAAGGGTCGGAATAACTGGATTATTGTCTGGATTCGTTTATGAAGTGTATTTCTGCGAGACACGTGATCGTTCTGTCTAACGGCGCGAGCTGATTTATCCGGTTTATCGAGTCTAAAATAGATTAGTATCCGATTGTAGAGTCTAATCGTAACTTCACCATGAGCGGTCCTGAAGACCCGAACGAGTCCAAACTTGAGGCGGTGATTCAGGTGTAGTTCTTTTACTTCTTTTCCTTATTCATCATCGCTTGATCGGAATAACTCTATAGATTGCGAGTATATATTTTATTAACGCGTCAGTTATATAAATAAATTGTGAATTATTAAACGTGTTTCTGGTTCAGTTCTGGCGGCGCCGCAGGTGTGTGTTCTGATCTGATCTAAATATAACAGATCACCACTGAGGCCATCTGCTACTGACACACACACACACACACACACACACACACACACACGTATAACATGGTTGTGTGTTTCAGAGGCTGGAGGAGAGCGTTCTGTGTGAAGAAAAGCGTCTGAGGGTTCGAGGATGTTCTCCAGATGAGCCTCAGTCACGGTTACCCGCCCGCGTGCGCGAGATCGTGTCCCGAAACCTGAGCGAAAGCGGTGAGACTCGATCTAAGAGTTATTTATGAACGTTCTAAACTTCCAGTTTTAAAAATATTTTTTTGGTTATGCGAACATTAAGGGAACATTCCATTTGATCATACTTCCAACACATTACGAGAACGTTACTTTTGAATGTTCTCTGTTCGTTTAAAAAACGTGAACGAATGATGTTTTGAGAACGTTATCAAAGACCAGATAACATTGAACAAACATTCTATTAACGTTACTGGAGGAACGTTTGTTTATAACAATGAGAGAACGTTCCCTGTTAACTGGGATTGAGCTCAACAGATTGAACTATGTTCTCTCTCTCTCTCTGTCCCCCTCACACACACACACACACACACACACACACACAGCTGGAGGCATGTCGTCGAGTCTGTCGGTCCCAGAGGAGAACCGGGTTCTTCAGGCAGAACTGAGTCGTGTGGAAGATCTTCTGGCTCACAGTCGAGCAGAACGAGATGAACTGGCCATCAAATACAGCGCCATCAGCGAGAGAGTGAGACACACACACACACACACACACTCACAGTCTAATGCCATCCAAGAGCCTGTTTCAGTTCTAGATCTTATTGTCGAGATCTTTAGTCTCTAAACTTTAGAGAACCTGAAACGGTTCATGTCCAGTGCCGTATTTACCATGTTTTTACACTCTGTGCAGTGAGAACACACACACACACTCTGTCTTTTGTCCACGTTGAGAGGTTGACCCGTCTCCGTGGTTACGGGGAGTGGAATGGCATGTTGTCATGGCGACTGTAAACAGGCTCTTTGATTCTGGGGCCCATCAGGACGTTTGTGATTTATTCAGGCAGTTTGAGCGTGAGCCGTGTTTACCTGTGATGTAGGTTGCCAGGGAGTTGTTTCATGGTTGCTAGGGCAATCTAGTTAGTTTCGACTGTTGCACAATCCGTAACTTAAAATCGTGAAGATATATAGATACGTCCTGTGTGTTTCAGAGTCAGCAGCACTGCGTTCTTCCACGTGTTTCAGAGCGGAGCGCGGCACGTCACTCGCCTAACGCGGAATTGTTTTATGTGAGCGTATTTTACAACTCTGAGTTTGAGTCGCTTATAACGGGAATTTGAAAACGCACCACACAGCGATAATCTTCTACGAACTCGAGCAGCGCTTATAAACTGAAAGAGAAGGTTTTCTGCCAAAATAAAAGCTCGACGGTTTAACGTTTGAAAATTAAACTAAGCCATACATTTTAGTATTGTGATGTTACAGTTGTACTATATAAAATATAGTAGAAAAGGTTACTACATTATTTTTCTTAAAGGGTAACTAAACCCCTGGTCAGAGCCTGACTCCACCCACTGGCAACATTTGAAAAATGCTGGAAAAGTGGGCAGAGCCCAGCGGAGGGGGGCGTGCACCTGAGACGCATCTCTTTGTATGAAACGTTCCTACGTCACCACCAAACGCTGTCACGTACCACCGCAAACATCCAATAGGAAAATTCAACTGCAGTAGCCACCGTTCAACCTGAAGAGGGCAGCACTAAGACGTTTTTACACCATATATTGTAGAATTAAAACACTTTATAAACAAATGCTTACAGATCATTAACTAAAAAAAGTTGGTTAAGTGTTTAGTTACTCTTTAAATACTAGATTTTTTTTGTAATTTTAGTTCTTATTTTAATACTTTTATTTAACAATAATAATTAGTATTATAGTGCAACAAAATGCTAATAGGCCTAATTATTATTTTATTTTATAGTCCTACTGATATATCATAACATTTTGGTTCTAACAATTCATTAATTAATAATACTCTTCCTCCAAATCGTGAGGCACTACTGGCTCAGGTGTTGTAGATGGTTGCTAGGGTCTCCTGTGTGGTTACTCAGGTGTTATGAGTGGTTGCTTGGGTCTCCTGTGTGGTTGGTAGGGTTGCTAGGGTCTTCTGAGTGCTTGGTAGGGTTGCTGTATTGTTGCTAGGGTCTTCTGAGTGGTTGGTAGGATATTCTATGTGGTTGCAAAGGTGTGATAGATGGTTGCTAGGCTCTTCTGTGCAGTTGCTGAGGTGTTATGGGTGATTGTTATGGTGTCCTGTGTGGTTAAAACATTTGCTAGGGTCTCATGTGTGGTTGGTGTGCTCTTCTGTGCGGTTGCTAAGCTCTTCTGTGCAGTTGCTAGAGTCTCCTGTGCGGTTGCTAGGGTTGCTGTGTGGTTTGTAGGCTCTTTTGTGTGGTTACTAGGGTCTTCTGTGTTGTCGCTTGGGTGTTCTGTGTGGTTGCTAGGGTCTTCTGTGTGGTTTCTAGGGTGTCCTGTGTGGTTGCTAGGGTCTCATGTGTGGTTGGTGGGCTCTTCTGTGCGGTTGCTAGAGTCTCCTGTGCGGTTGCTAGGGTTGCTGTGTGGTTTGTAGGCTCTTTTGTGTGGTTGCTAGGGTCTCCTGTGCGGTTGCTAGGGTCTCTTGGGCGGTTGGTAGGCTCTTCTGTGCGGTTGCTAGGGTATCCTGTGTGGTTGCTAAGGCTCTCTCCTGATTGTGTGCAGCTGGAGCAGGCGCTGAGGATGGAGTCGGCCGGGGAGGATCCGGGTTCTCCTGAGTCGCTCAGTCTAGCGCAGCAGAACGTGGATCTGCGCAGACGGCTGGACGAGGAGCAGGCGGCGTATAAACGCAAACTCACGGCGTACCAGGAGGGGCAGCAGAGACAAGCGCAGCTCGTGCAGAAACTACAGGCCAAGGTACAACACCACACGCGGTCATTAAAGCGGTCTCCTCTCTGAGAACACTCATCTCATGCCGTGTGTTTGCAGGTTCTCCAGTACAAGAAGAAGTGTGGAGATCTGGAACAGATGCTGCTGGAGAACTCCACTGTCAGTACATCCCATAATACCTCACTGTACCTCAGACACACGGGCTGAATAACATCCAATAGCATCTGTGCTTTACGAGTGTAACAGCGGTGTGTTTCAGAGTGAAGCGCCCCCTGGCTGTGATGGTTGTTGTGTGTGCAGAGCCGGTGTGGCGGCAGTAACGGCCATGATGACGAGGAGCCCAGCGGCGAGATGGAGAGCGCCCTCATCAGACTGGAGGAGGAACAGCAGAGGTCTCACACTCATCTGTCATGATTTACACACACAAACACACGTGATTTCTTAACGTGTTTGCATGTGTGTGTTGAACGTGTGAGTGTGCTAAACGCATGTGCTTAACGTGTGTGCGTGTGAGCAGGAGCAGCGGTCTATCCGCGGTCAACGCTATGCTACGGGAGCAGCTGGAACAGGCCGGACTGGCCAACGAGGCGCTCAGCCAGGACATCCGCAGACTCACTGCTGATTGGACCAGAGCGAGGGAGGAGCTGGAGCAGAGGGAGTGTGATTGGAGGAAAGAGGAGGAGGTGGGTGTGGCCGTACGCATCACTGTAACGCACAGGAAGCTGCAGGGTTTAACGCATGCGTTCGTTCAGTCTTTCCACAGCTACTTCAGCGGCGAGCACAGCCGTCTGCTGGCGCTCTGGAGGCAGGTGGTGGGTCTGCGCAGGCACATCTGCGAGATGAAGAGCGCCACCGAGAGGTCAGAGCCGGCACTGCAGCCGTACTCACCAGAGCGCACTCGACCCCGACTCAACACTGTGTGTGTGTGTGTGTCGCAGGGATCTGTCTGCGGTGAGGAACCAGCTGGCGTGCGCGGCTCAGAGTGTGCAGCTGCAGTGTGTGAGCACCTGCTCAGTCCTGCGCAGTCGGGAGGAGGCGTCTGCGCAGATGCTGGAGAGAGAGACGGGCGTGCGACTGCAACTGGAGCAGCAGCTGAGAGAGACGGTGACGGAGATGATGACGCTGCAGGCCAAGAGCGACTCGGAGCGGCTCGAGATCAACACACGGTCCGTTACACACACACACACACACACACACACACACCATCTCTCTCTCTCTCTCTCTCACACACACACACACACACGCGTGGTCCGTTACTGGTCTAAATGAAATCAAGTAAATGAAGTTTAAAACATTCTGTGTGTGTGTTTGTGTGTGTGTGTGTATGTGTGTGTGTGTGTCAGGCTTGTGGACGCAGTGAGAGAGCTTGAGCGTCTCAAAGCTCATGTGGAGGACAGAGAACAGGAAGTGACAACACTCAACAGGAAGCTGCAGGTATGTATGTTGGGTTGTATATTTGGACATGAACTGGTCCATTATTGTCATTGGATCCTTGAGAGGAACCGCCCACAACAGGAAGAGGGCGGGTAAAGCGACCAATCACAGCTCAGATGTGATGAAGCTCACACACAGTAATCCAGTGATGTGTGTGTTCAGGATCAGAGGAGCCTTGAGGAAACTGAAGTTCATTCACTCAGGACACACACTGCAGCCCTGCAGAACACACTCCGAGACATCACACAGGTACTACACACACACACACACACACACACTGCAGCCCTGCAGAACACACTCCGAGACATCACACAGGTACTACACACACACACACACACACACACTCACACACTGCAGCCCTGCAGAACACACTCCGAGACATCACACAGGTACTACACACACACACACACACACTCCGAGACATCACACAGGTACTACACACACACACACACACACACACACACTCGGAGACATCACACAGGTACTACACACACACACACACACACACTCGGAGACATCACACAGGTACGAGTCACTGCTTCACGGGTGTGTGTGTGTGTGTGTGTGTGTGTGTAGCTGCTGTTCTCTGACAGTGACGGTGTGGACGGAAACACTGAAGAGTCTCTCCTGCCGTTACTGCGCTCTTCATCATCATCATCATCATCATCATTACCCATCATCCCTGACAGCTGTCTGTCTGCACTGCGCTCCAGTCTGACCCACAGACAGGGCCAGATACAGGTACACACATTCACTATCACACACACACACACCTCTGTCTGTGCTCTGACATCCGTCACAGTGTGTGTGTGTGTGTGTGTGCGTGCAGGAGCTGCGTGAGCGTCTAGCGTCTGCACAGTCGTCAGTCCAGCACCTGCGCAAGCAGCAGATGGAGGCGGAGTCAGGCCGGCGGGAGGCGGAGTCAGGCCGGAGAGAGGCGGAGCTACGTGTGCAGACGCTGCAGGGAGAGCGAGACGAGGCTCAGAGAGAGAGAGAGACGGCTGTGAGAGAGAGACACCGACTCAGACAGGAGAGAGACGCGCTCAGCAGGTGAGACACCTGTCCGTCACACACCAGCTTTCGTCCCGTCTCCATCATGACGTGTGTTCGCGCGATGGTGTTGGTTGCCTAGTAACGAACGTACGGAGGCCGAGAATGTTCCGTCAACTCCCGTGTGTTCGCGCGCGGGCGGCGGGAAACTCCACTGTGTGTGTCTGCGCTCGTGTACTGCAGTGTGTGTTGGCGTGTGGCGTGAGTGTGTGAACCGGCCTGTGTGCGCTGATATCTCTCTCTCTCTCTCTCCCTCAGTGAGAAGGAGTGTGTGTGTAAAGCGGCACAGACGCAGGCGCAGCTGCTGCAGATGGAGTGTGAGAGACTGCAGGTGTGTGTGACGTCTGCGCAGAGAGAGAGAGAGGCCGAGCAAGAGGAGAGAGAGGCCGCGGAGTTGGAGAGAGACCGAGCGAGAGCAGAGACACACAGAACGTGAGTGTGTGTGTGTGTGTGTGTGTGTCGTTTGATTCTGCTTATTGATTCCTAATTTAGATTCCAGAAAGGTAAAAAAAATAAACTTATGTTATTGCTAAAGCTGTCACTGCAGCTGAATATCATGAAGAGCACTTACACACACACACACACACACACACACAGCGTTAGCCTGAGGGTTAAACACACCATAGAAGAACAGCTAGCCCAACTAATACACACTTCAGCATCAGTAAACACAATACACACTCGCTCATTAAACAAGAACACACAAAACATTAGCAATCGCAACAAATAGACACAACTGAACAAAGACACGACTGAAATAAATACGATTTTCAGGTTCAGAAACTGTAATAAATGTAAAATAACTGCAGTTTATAAATAAATATACAGATGTAGTTACAGTTTTTCAGTGAAGAACGTGTGTGTGTGTGTGTGTGTGTGTGTGTGTGTCAGTCAGCAGATGTGGGACGAGTCGGAGTGTCGAGCTTCTGCACTGCGAGCTGAACTGGCGGCGCTGAGAGAGTCTGTCCAGCAGGGGGCGTCAGACAGACAGATGATGGAGGCGGAGAACACACAGCTGAGGGACACACTCACCCGGGTCAGACACACTCACACACACACACACACACACACTCACCCGGGTCAGACACACTCACACACACACACACTCACCCGGGTCAGACACACACACACACACACACACACAGATTAGTCAGATCTGTGAACAGTATTTGACAGAAGAGTCTCAGATCTCTGAGTTCATGAATGGGGAAATGCAGAAGTGTTTATAATGTTGCTCAGTGTAATTAAATGTGTTTCTGAGGTTTCAGTGTCTCACGTTATAATGTGCGTGGGAAAAAACAACACGCCAAACGAGTAATGAGAAGCTTTAAGGGCTCTCCGGGGTTTTCCGCTAAAATATTTGTCTATTTTACAGTGAAATGTATATTTCTGTATGTATGGTAATGTGTGTGTTTGTATGTGCAGAGTGAGAGCGGTCGCGCTGAGCTCTCGCTAGCGGTCACGAAGCTTCACTCGGAGGAGTCGTCACTCAGAGATTCGCTCGCGAAGATGAGCGCCATTAACGAGAGTCTCGCACAGGACAAGTCTGAACTCAACAGCCTCGTCGTACAGGTACACACACACACACACACACATTTCACTTCCTTATGTTTCATGTACTCATCATACTAAGTTGATTTAGTTGGGGCTTGAGATTACCCGTTCATATTATCAGTTGAGCCAATGATATTGATGTTGTTTAAATGATTGACAGCTGGAGGAGGAGAAGAGTGTGTTGCTGTCTCAGCGAAGAGAAGCGCAGCAGGAGAAGCTGACCATCAGAGACGAGCTCGTTCGCTCCGAGCAGGACCGCCTGGAGCTGGACTCGGTCCGCCTCTCGCTCAGCCAATCACTGCAGGAGGCGGAGCTGGCGAGGGCGGGGCTGGAGGCGGAGCTTCAGTCACTGCAGGCGGACAGAGCCAAACTGCAGGACAGAATTACACAGGTGTCTCTCTCTCTCTCTCTCTCTCTCTCTCTCTCTCTCTCAGTCCCTAATCTGATGTGCTGCTGTCAATCAAACAGCTGATTGGTGAGATGGGTGGTCTGGAGGCGGAGCTTGAGTCGGTCCGCAGTGAAGGCCATAGGCAGAGCTCCGCCCTGGAGGAGGCGGGGCGTGGGAGGGCGGAGCTAGTGAGAGAGAGGGCGGGGCTTCTGGTTCAGCTGAACGCCTCAGAGAGAGAGAACGCCACTCTGACGGAGGAGATCGCTTGCTTCAGGTGAGAGCGAGGACATCTGCGTCACGATAGTAATGTTTCATGGATAACCGTGTGTGTGTGTGTGTGTGTGTGCAGGTCGGAGAGGGAGGCTCTAGAGACGAGTCTTTTCGAACTGCAGCAACAAATAAATCAAATGGAGTCTCGCCGTGAACAGCTGGAGTCGGAGAACCAGAACCTGCGCCTGCGTACTGACAGCGTTACAGGTACACCACGCTGAGAGCGACCCGTTCACGAGAGGGCGGAAGAGCTGTGTTTAAAGGGACAGTTCACCCAAAAATGTTAATCAATTAAGCCCATGATTAGTCCTCAAGTCATCCTAGGTGTCTATGTATAAAAGTGCATCTATCCATTATAAAAGTGGAAGCTTGGAAGAGCCAGGACATGTTTTAATATTACTCTGAATGAAGAGTGTCATACACACCTAGGATGGCTTGAGGGCTAATGTTCATTTTTGGGTGGACTTTCCCTTTAAATGAGCCTCATCGCGATGGTTGGTTTGTCCGTCTGTGTAGCGGAGCTGAAGCGTGTGCGCGCTGAGAGAGAGACGCTTCTGTCTCACAGTGAGAAAGAGAGAGACGCGCTGAGAGACGCGCTAGCAACGGCTCAACATGAAGCTCAACGAGTTCTGCGCGCGACCCTGTCCGACCACCAGGAGGAGCTGGAGAGACTGGCCAATCAGAAGGTCAGGAGCGCTTGCCTCTTGTGTGAGTACGAGGTGATGTGGCGTGTGTAACTTACTCCTGACCCCTGCAGGAGGCGCTGCGCTGCAGTCTGGAGGCCGAGCAGCAGGGGGCGCTGCGGCGGCTGCGGGAACACCTGGAGGATCAGCTGACCCGGCGGGAGCGAGAGGGGGAGGAGCTTCAGGAGCAGCTGCGGTCGCTGCAGCGCGACAGGGACCAGAGTCTGCTACAGGCGGAGTCCGACAAACAGCAGGTGCGGCCGCGGGACGCCCGATGGGCCTTTCACACAGGACGCGGGATCATTTCAATGGCCTGTGCCGCGAGAAGACGAGTTTGAGGTCGTATAGGGACAAATAACTATAGACGTATAGATCTCCCGCATAAAGTTTTTGAAAACTCCGCCTACTTTGCTCTGGCATAGCGCAGCGTAATCGCGTTGTATCTGAAGAGCAGCGGCCAGCGCCGTGCATCCCGCGTCCTGTGTGAAAGGCCCATGACCCTCGCTGCTTTAGGCCTGTTGACCTCAGGAACTGTAAAGAAACAGAGTCCTTTATATCCCAGAGCTGCCTTGGTCGCTGTCTGCCATTGTAATGCTAGAATATTAACAAAAACAACCATATATTAAAAAAAATATATGAAATGTTTTGTTGTGCATTTCTAGTATTAAATTAATACATAAAACATTAATTTAATTCATCTTTTATGTGAAATTTAACTTTATTGTCAAACAACATGCGGCACAACTGAGCTTTATATTCTTAAATTACAAGATTTAGAAGAAAAAGTGTGATTATTCCTGAAAAAAAATAGAGAATTTATTAGTGTTAGTATTATTATTAAATTGAGATATCTAAAAACTATAATCATGTGTTAATAGTCTCAGATGCGTTCTCAGGCGCTGATTGGTTTAATGTGGATCAGTACAGCGCGGCGTCCGGTGCGCAGGCCTAGCGTGACCGTCTGATGTGCACACAGGCACTGTCGGTGAAGGAGGCGGAGAAGGCGGTGCTGGCGGAGAAGGCGAGCGCCCTACAGGCGGAGCTGAGCACTGCAGCGCTGGAGCTGGAGAGACTGAGCCGGGAGACGGCGCTGCTCAGGGACCAGGAGCGGGTCAGTGCTACGCTACGACATTAGCTGTGTGCGCAAGGCTAATCCTTGAACAATCTCAATTCAAACACCCACGTGATCTTATTCCTGTGTCTAATAAACCTTTGACAAGATCAACTGGGATAAGTTTATAGTTCGGACATAAGCACTGAGCGATTACACCAGTAGGTGGCGACAAGTGACGGTTTAAACACGGCTAATGTGTTGTTGGCTTCATTGGTTTATATTGTAGTGTTGTAGTTGTGTCTCTAATGAGTGTGTTGTGTTGTGGTCAGGCTGCGGTCGCGTCTCTGAACGCTGAACTGCAGGAGCTGCGCGGTGAGCTTCAGGACGCAGCCGGTGCACACGCGCGAGAGCTGCGCAGACGGCAGGAGGACTGCGCAGACCTGCAGACGCGAGCCGACGCGGCGCTCAGAGAGGTCAGTTACCCAGAACTGCACACCGCCACGGTACAATGAGTTACTGCTATTAAAGGTGCAGTGTGTAAGTGTTGCGCATCTAGTGGTGAGGTTGTGAATCGCACCCAACAGAAGTTACGGTGGCCGCCAGGATGTGATGTCATCATCTGAGACAGCAGAGAGGAGCCCGTTAAACAACGAGGTTTCTTTACAAAGATAAATTATGAGATTAAGTTTACCTGATTATTCAGTAAAACGATATTATTGTGACTTATTCATCATTGTGTCAGTGTTTTATTCGCTTCTGATCATGAAGAACAACGTAGTGACGAAACACGTGTGTCCGCTCAGGGCCACCGTAGACACGTGGATATAAGCGGACCCGCGGTGTGTGTAGAGAGAAACACCTCATTATAAGCTCATTAACTCTTCATTATGAAAGCTCTTTATACACCACTGAACACACAGTTATGTATATTATATTGTATTTCTGACAATAGATCCTCCTGAATATTTAAACTGTGTTTCCCTCGTGTAGTTGGAGGAGTGTCGCGCGCTGCTGGCGTCCAGCGAGGAGAACCGAGACAGTGCCAGGAGAGATCTCCTGGAGATGGAGAAACGCTTGGGCCAGATACGGGAGGAGGGGGAGGGGCTTAGGCGAGAGGGGGCGGAGCTACGGCGCTCTCTTAGTGATGTCACCAAGGAGAGGGACACCCTCAGCCAATCAAACGCGCAGCTGAGGGAAGCACTGAGAGCGGCGGAGAGCGAGAGAATCAGGTGACGGACGAAGACTTAATGTACTATATTTTAGTTCGATAATGTTTCTTATTTCACATTGGTACTAAATTATATTTACGCTGTATTTATAATTATTTATTCACGTTTTGAGCATAGACTTAAACGGGTAGATCTGGAACGCTTTAGAGCGACAGACTGAAGTTTGATCTCTTCTCAAACACGATCAGCAGATTATTGCTGACGGGAGAAAAGTCTTAAAAAATCACCGAATTTTATGTTTATTGTTATGAAAAATAAAAAAATAGTACAGTATTTAAATTTTTTATATGAAATTTAATGGCTGCAGTTCCACATGCTTCCACTAGGGGAAACTCTCGTTTCCAATACGTCATTTCTGATGGTGACTGGTGTTCACAGCACCATTAAACCTGTTCAGATCATGGCCATGATGTTTGTGTGTGTGTGTGTTCACACAGCAACAAAACCGTTACCAAGTTTCGTACCATTCCGATGAAGAAAAAACCCCGAATGTAACATTTTTCAGTCAAAATTACTATTTAGAACAGACCATGCAGTTGAGGCTCTTTCCGCAGTGCTGATTGGAGGGCTTGTGCTTTGTGTTCAGCGTCAAGCGTGTGTGTGAGGAGAAGGAGCAGAGGGCGTGTCTGCTGGAGGAGAGCCTGGCGTCTGCGCAGACGGAGGTGTCCGATCTGCGCTCGTGTCTGCGTGACGTGGAGCGATCCCGACTGGAGGCGCGCAGGGAACTGCAGGAGCTGCGCAGACAGGTCAGACTGAGGCCACAGACTGTATAACACATGTGTGTAGAGTGTGTGACGTCACCCGTAGGGTTTCTGAAGCCCAAAGTGGGCGGAGCCGGCCGTCGCCATCTTGGCTGCATGTCACTCCCGGATAAACGAAGCGAGGTGGATTAGCTGAGGTGACGTGACTAACATTAGCAGACAAACAGCTAGTAGTGACAATCCACCTGTCACTCAAGTGGCCACGCCCTTAATTATGCAGAACTTTAAGGCTTAATATAATTTAAACGGCTGAGTTATAATAAATCCCCGCTCACAGTCGTCATGAAGGGCAGCATTAGCGATATAGACCAACAGCACTTCAACAGCAGACTGTGAACATGTGTTTCTGCTGTACAGTTGGGCAGTTTAACATGCGGCTCTATGGGAGTGAGTCTCTCCTGCAGCGCCTCTAGTGGCCAGAGGAGGAACTGCAGGATAACACACTGGGGAAGGCTGCTGGTTGGTTGAAAGTAAGGATGAAGAGCTGTGGTTTGACATGCATGACTCTGTGCTGTCAGGTGAAAGTCGTGGATGCCGAGCGCGAGCAGACGGCTAAGCAGACGACCGAACTGCAGATGCGTTTATCCGCGGAGGAGCAGAAGGACGAGGAGCGAGCGAGAGAACTGATCTCGCTCAAACAGAGACTCGCCGAAACGGAAACTAGCAGAAACTCTCTTCAGAAAGAGGTGAGATCTCACAAGTACTTACAGATTTAAAGGGATAATAAAGGAAAATTAGCCCATGATTGACTCTCCCTCAAGCCATCCTAGGTGTGTATGACACTGTTCTTTCAGACGAACACAATCAGTTATATTACAAAATGTCCTGGCTCTTCCAAGCTTTATAATGGCAGTTTCTGTCCATAAAAGTGCTAATGAAGCGTTAATGGACTTCAAAACAAACTGGCCATTCACTGCCATTATAAAGTAATATAACTCTGATTGTGTTCGTCTGAAAGAAGAGTGTCATGCACAGCTAGGATGGCTTGAGGGTGAGTCAATCATGGGGTAATTTTCATTTTTGGGTGAACTGTCCCTTTAAGTTAAACTAACTAATAATGGTGCCGCGCCCGGCCTGTCTGTCTCCAGCTGTCTTCTCTACAGAGGCGTGTGAGCGAGAGCGAGTTGTGCTGGCGCAGTCGCGAGCGAGAGTTAACGTCTCAGCTACAGGACGCTCGCGGCTGTGAGAAGAAGCTTCAGGACGAGGCACGTAACCTCTCCGTCCGCGCGCAGTCGACCTCGGATGCGTCTGCGCAGCTGCAGCTGCAGCTGAGTGATGCGCAGGGCCGCCTGGCTGCGACGGAGGCGGAGCTAGCGCGAGCGGAGGCGGGGCGCAGGGATCTGGAGTTCAGGATGAGCAGCCTGCAGTCGGCACTCACGCGCACACTGGGCATCGGGGCCAGTGGGCGGAGCAGCAGCAGGGGGCGGAGCCCAGCAGGCTCCTCCCCTTCCTCTCTGAGCTCAGGGATGATGTCTCGCCATAGGAGCGTGTCTCCGCTGCACTGCTCGCTGTCGCCACCCAAAGGTCAGATTTGCTTCCTAACGAAAGTTGTGTTTGAGTTCTACTTCATCTCAACCCTTTCTCTGCTGTCCGCCAGATGTGGCAGGTCACGTGACTCCTGATAACAGCATCATGCTGAGGCCGGTGTCTCCAGAGAGGACCGACGCCCCGCTGCCCGTCGCCCAGGCGGAGCTCGACCCCGAAACCCTGCGCAGCGGCCTCAGAGACTTCATACAGGAGCTGCGCGAGGCTCAGCGAGACCGTGTAATGCTGCTAATGCCATAAGAAATATTATCACAACTATTAGGACAACTAGAACTGTTGCGATAACTAGAACTATTGCGATAACTATAACATTAAGTACAAGTCTAACTACATTATGATAATTATACCTGTAGCTATTACAATAACTAAAGCTATTACAACTATAACAATACAACTGTGATGATAACTATAGATATTTTAATAACCATAACTATCGCGATAACTAAAAAAACTATAATGCTAGCTGTAACTATTGTAAAATCTATAACGATGAAGATGACTGTAACATCCACACCAGCGCACAGTATCGCTCTGTTTATTATAAGCGCTGCAGTTTTGTCGTCGGTCACTTTAAATGCTCGAGCTCTTTAAAGCAGGATGGATTCTGATTGGCTGGCAATATTTGAATCGTTCATCGGCTGGAAAAAAAATCACTGAAAGTCATTCAAATGATATTATTCCTATGTGTAGTTATCATTATAGTTTTGGTGTGGACTTTGCTATTCTTAGACTTCGCTATTCTTCGCTATTCTTCTATTCTTAAAGTGATTATTAAAACTATAGTTGTATATTAGGCTCCGCCCACTGTGAAATCTGCTCCACCGAACATTGACATCAAACATCTGATTGGCTGTTATTGTGTTGTTGTAAAGTGAGCGTGTGATTTATGTGTGCGCAGGACGAGGCGCGGGGTCAACTGGGGTCACTGCAGAGGGAACTACAGGAAGTGACCTCAGAGAGAGACTCCGCCCACCAGCGCCTCATTCAGCTGCACAACACACTACAGGAGTGCCAGGAGGGTAACGCACATCTAACCATCCTTTCCATGTCAAGCTAATTTAATAACTTTCAAATAAGACTTTGCTTAATGAACTGTTTTGCTCATGCGTTTGCCAAGTTTTCGCTCACTTCTGGAGTGGTGTGTTGATTGTGTGTGTAGATAAGCGTGGCGTGGATGGAAAGCTGTCGTCGGCTCAAGCTCTGCTGCATGAGCAGGACGAGTCCCTGCGGAGAGGAGAGAGAGAGCGGCGAGCGCTAAACGAGCGAATCACAGAGCTGGAGCGGATGTCCCAGAGCGCCGAGGCCGAGCGCACGCGCGTGGAGGTCAGAAGTCTTGTTGATCTCAGGCCTCGTTTACACTCAGCCAAGCGTGGCCCAGGTCCGATGTCTAGCGCATGTGCAGACTGATCTCATGAAATCGCGTGTGTGACACGGCAATTCGTATTTCCATTTTTGGCGTGGTATCAACACGCATAATCTCGTTTCAGCGTGTTTATGAACGCCGTTGACTTAACGTTATTACTGTATATATAAATCTATGACCTACCCCAACCCCGTCCCTAAACCTACCCGTCACTGGGGTTAATGGCATTTATGAGTCTTCCCCTACAATCCTAGGAAAAAAAATATTATATATTATATTTTATTATATACAAATATATTTTATAAATAATATATTTTCGGATATTTCCAGATCAGTTTCAGGCCTCGTTCATATGTGGAAGTAAATCAGATATATGTGCCAGCAGTGCGACTCAAGTAAACAGGCGGATCGGAGTTAATGAGGCGGTAGGCTATGTACACATTAGTCGTATAAATAGCACAATATAAACAAATTCGTGCTATAGATGCACACTTTCATGAGATCATGTATGTTCCCACCAGTCCTGAGATCTCTAAACACAGTGACTGAAGTGTATGCGCAGGCTCATTGATGGCCCTTTACGTCCTCCGCCTTAAAGTCACGCTGACGATTAGCGAACTAGCATATATCGTAGAGCTAGCATCAAGCATATTTCGCGTTCGTCCATCTGTGCAAGAACCCTCTTTAAACATGCGCGATCTTTCAAATCAATGTCAAGTGTAAACACATGAATCGGATTTAGATCACAATTGAAAGAACGTGTAAACGGACGGTCAAAAAAATCGTATCGAATGAGAACTGGGCATGGAGACCTGCGGTGTAAACGAGGCCGACGGTAGCGTGGTTCAGGAGGGCTGTGAGTGACTCGCGTCGCCCCCTGCAGGAGCAGTGCCGCCAGCTGCGCGCGGGCGAGGCACGTGTGGAGGCAGAGCGGCGGCGGCTGCGCGAGGCGCTGGAGGAGGCGGAGGGCCGGGGCACACGGGTGGAGCTGGGGAGGCGGAGCCTAGAGGGAGAGCTGCAGAGACTCAGGCTGAGTCTGACGGAGAGAGAGATGGAGATCCAGGCGGCTCACGACCGCCACGAGAGCGCCGCCAAACAGGTGCCGTACGCTGTGCCGCCGCTGGCTAGCAGTGATGCTTCCTGGAGCCGCTGGTGCTCTGCGGGCATATCTGACTGAAAAAGTTTACATTTGTTTTTTTCTTTTTCTTCATTCGGAATGGTACGAAACTTGGTAAACTTGGTACTGTAAAGTTCACTTTTTAAAATCTGCCAAGTGTCGTCTTTGAAAAAAGATCAACGACAGTTTTAAGTTGGAAATTTAATTTTCAGATCAAGTCAGCTTTATTTATACAGCGCTTTTTACAACACAGTGTTTCAGAGCAGCTTTACAGAGATAACAGGAACATAATGCAAAAAAGTGTGTTTCCAGAAGAGAATAGCGTCACAGTCCAGCTTTTATGCTCACAAAGTGAATTAATGGATTATAAATACAGCCGCTAAAAAAAGCTAAATATTAAATAAAAAACATTACCGAACTAAAATATAGTACATTAATTTCATTGAAATAAATGAACACATTCTGTAATTTTTGACCGACACGCATCGAGCACCAGAGGTTAATGAAGCATGCCGCTATGAGGCGATCACGTGACGAGCTCGGCGAGCGTAACGATGTTGGCTTGCGCTCAGGTGTCGGAGGCCGAGTCCCGCGCGGCGAGTCTCCAGCGGGAGGTGGACCGGCTGACGGCGGCGCTGGCCAAAGCTCAGGACGGGGAGAGCGAACAGAGAGAGCGAGCGCTGGCTCTCTCCCAGAGTCTGCAGGAAGCCTCCGCGGCCCACAGCGCCACCCAGGGGCGTCTCACAGCACTGCAGAAAACACTGGGCCAGGCGGAGGGCGAGCGCAGGCAGACGCAGGTGAGAGAGAGACGGGTGAGAGAGAGAGAGAGATGGGCGAGAGAGAGTGACGCTGTGGTGTGTGTGTGTGTGCAGGAGCGTGTGGACGGGCTGCGCGCGGCGCTGTCGGACGGGAAGCGGAGCGTGGGCCTCCTCACGGAGCGCGTGCACACACTGCAGGCGGAGCTGACCCAGAGTCAGCTGGTGCGGGCGGAGCTGGAGGCGGGGCTGCTCAACACACAGGAGGTGACGGCCGCTCTGACACAAACACACATCCTGCCCTCAGTGGGACACACACATGTGAATTTATTTGTAAATAGTGTTCATCAGAGGGCTTTAAGACCACAAACCACGAATGCACACACACAAAAAAATAAAATAAATAAAGAATGGATTCGAGGAGTTTTGTGATTAAAATATACAAAAGTAACAAACACTGTGTGTGAGTGTGTGTGTGTGTGTGTGGGTCTGAGCTGGGCTGTGACGAGTGACGCTGATTGCTCCCGCAGGCTCTGCGCCAGAGGTCCGACAGCCTGGCCGAGGCCCAGCGAGCGCTGCAGTCTGCGCAGACGGAGCGGGCGACTGCAGAGGAGCGTCTGCGCAGCCTTCAGAGAGCCGTGGCTTTACTGGAGACCGAGAGGAGGGAGTCCGAGAGACAGGCGGTGCGCCTCGAGAAGGACAAGACTGCGCTGAGGAGCACTCTGGAGAAGGTGCCGAGCCCACTCTCACACACACACACACACACCAGCTTTAGTTTAAGGCCTCAGTGATTGATGATTGCTGTGCTTGTGATGTGTTACGATGATGTTCTGGTTGGTCAGGTGGAGCGCCAGAAGCTGAAGACGGAGGAGAGTAGCATGCGCTTGTGCGCGGAGAAAGGCCGCCTGGATCGTTCGCTGAACACCGTGGAGCAGGAGCTGACGGACGCGCAGAAGCAGGTCGCGATGCTGCAGGTGCGTCTCCACAGACAGATGATGTTTAATATCACATGTTTCGTCTAGCAGAAGTGCCCATTCGACAGTGGCTCGGGTTGATGCAAGGTTATTTTCATTCATAAAAGCAGGAACATGTAAAAATGGCAACCTCGTTGGTTATTCTAATAAGGCCACCCTTAAAAATATTCTTGTTTGCCGTAACCCGACCGACCCTGTCAATTTAGGGCCGACCCAATTTTTTATTTTTTTTCCCTTTTAGTCCGACCGACTTGCCGGTTGTAACTTGCGTTCAGACCGACCGATTTTTTTTTTTTTTTTTTACTCTTCAAACGACTAATTCAAATTCCATAAAATGATATTTTAGTTAGTATTGTGAAAGTTGCTTATGTCTACAAACGTAGGATACGTTCTTTCTTTTAAATAAAAACCCGTGGCGTCATAGTCATCTGATTATGTTTACACGATTGGTTTAGCCGTGTCACACTGTCTATAAGGCTTATACGTTCGCTTCGTTTCATTCAGTGTTCCCGCTTGGTAAACCCGGTATTAAATGGGCTGAATATCAACCATTTCTATATATAATAATAATATTAAACAATTTGTCTGATGCAATTTTGCTATTCCCAGTCCAGAAGAGAGAGAGCGATCTCTCACCCGGAGCCACAGCGCGAACCACATGACAGCCCTGCTTAATGAGTGACAATGAGGACAGAACGTGGTTACCTACACTTTAGATCTGGGATATTATTCTAATTGTATTTTAGATTTCCGCTTTCAAAGATTATAAAAAGATATTTGAGATGAAACCATTACAGACGCATTCTGTCTATAGCGCAACTTCCTTCCCTTCACAGCGTTGCGCTGTCATTTCTTCCTAAAACCCAAACGTACCGTCAGAATCAGCACGCTCGGTAATTGTTGTAAAATAAACTGCGTACGGGTTCAATCATTAAAAGAGCTATTAAAAGCACAAAAGTCTGCGCAAGAGACGCTGTTCACAAGGTGATGCGCGCTCCGAAATGCACTGCAACGGGACAAGAAAAGTAGGCTATAGCCTCATTTTGGGCTTCATGTGCGCAGCTAAACTATCAAATATACATAAAATCTAAAATGACCTGCTCTGAGATTCATTTAAACACAGTTTATGTCTTAAATGGATGTGAATAGTTGGGAGGATATGGTGGTGCATCAGTCATCGGTTAGATCCGCACTCGGTCTTAAAGGGGCAGTAGTCTAATAAACATGTGACGATTGAGCCAGTAATGGGAATCAAACACAACAAAAGGCAGAGAAAAATCACTCGCAGCTCTTGAATTATTAACTTAAACTTTAATAAGCATTAATCTAACTATGATAAACCATGCAGTGTCATTTTACATTTGATTTACTAAATTAAATTTCTTTTCAGACAGCGCAACACACTTAACTGAAAAGTAGCTAATTTTAGACCTTTCTGAAATTAAAGCACTGTGTATATAGGCTAATTTGTATCTTTGTTTAATTGTATTCTTTGTTTCACCATGTGTTTGTACTTGTTTTTGCTTATATCTCATGTATTTGGGGAAAAAAAGCCTGCACACTGCTGCATAACAAATACAGTAGATATTTATTCATTTTGTGACTGGCCTAAAAACGTAACCGGTTGTAGGTTGCAATAACACCTAGTGGTGGATGCACAGTTTGAAGACCCAGTCAGTGACGTCTAGAGCTGTCGCGATAGTCAATATATCGACTTATCGCACGATATATGGAAACCAGTGCGATCATTTTTGGTGCCGCGATATATTGCAACAGATAATTTGTTTTACTATTAAGAATAATAATTAGATTCATTTTTACAATAAAATGAATGTCATGAGCATTTTAGTTGATCGCGCTTCCTCTGTCATCTTGTCTGCACGCGTCCACCACATACACACACACACAAAGGGAGAGAGCGGACACCGGCAGGTGAAGAGAAGGCGTGAACCAAAACTGCATTTTAAAGTGTTCTCGTGACATCTACAGCGAGCCAGACAGTTAGGAAGAACGAGTCCAACATGGAATTAATTGATTTCAAAGCCACAATCTTCAGCTCCGGTGTGGGAACATTTTGCCTTTAAGCCGAACGAGAGAGGAGAGATAAACGTGAACGAGCGGGTATGTCGACTGTGTTTTAAAACAGTCGCAACGCGACGAGGCAACACAACAAACTTAAAATCGCACCTAAAACATAACCATCCCACCCAGTGTTTCAACCTGGGAACAACAACAGCAGCTGGAGTTGGAGAGGGGCCTTCTTCCAGACAGTTATGTTGCAGATGCATTTTCCCGTCCCGACCGTGCAAATATAGTAAACGTGACAGCGCGAAATGGCGCACACTCACGGATAGCGTAACTCTCAGTGTTGGTAAATTTCACTTTCTACACGAACTAGTTCAAAGTTCAGTTCACACATTTTAAAATGAATTAGTTCAGTTCATAGCTCATACTTCAAAAAAACTAATTAATTTATAGTTCTTTTTTCCATGTTGTGAGCTTTTTTCATTAGGCTGTTATTGTCACAGCCCATACAACCACAGACAACAATTATTTTATCGACGGCCAGTTTGCGCAGAAATGTGAGATTTTTTTTTTCCCATCCGCACTGACCTCATAAAATCCGTTTAAATGATCATACATCTCCTCACTCGCTGCTTTGTTGACGGTGGCCGCGGCGCGGTTGGTGTTGCCAGATTGGGTGTTTAAGGCTTGTTTACGTGTGTTTTAGCCGGGTTTTCGCCTGGAAGGCTCTATACAAATCGGCACCCTATTGTACGAACGGGTAAGAGTTTAAACTGATAGAGCGTGCATTCGCAGACATACACCAGAATGAACGCGTTCATCAGGCAGTAATACAGTACATTCTTCAATTCACTCAAATATGAACGCGTTCAGGCACTACACTACTATTTAGCCAAAGAGATGCAGCCATTATGCACGGTCGAAAACCAGCATTTAAAAATATGAAATGTCCTGTTGATGCATCTGTGCCTTTGTGTGAGACACTTTAAAAGTTTAAATTGACATATTTCTTTGTTTTGATCTAGTTTTTGATACCTGAAACTTTTTTGTTAAGAATGTGTATTTATTTACTTGTTTTATTTATTTGGGATATATTTTTTTCACATTTCACAATGTCTAAATATTGAATAGAATGAGAATAAATGTTCTTTGAAACAGTGTACTTGCATTATAATGCTATTATATTGTCATAGGTAATCAGTGGCATAAAATGGTCTGAAAATGACAATAATATCGTTTATCGCAATTAATTTTGGTGCAATATATCGCACAACAAAAAGTAGTTATCGTGACAGCTCTATCTCTGTGCTGTTATCATTAGGGTTGTGGTGTGAAATCTTTACATTTCAAAGTATTTTTAGAACTAAATCTTTATCTTTATAGTTATCGGACTTACGGCCTTAAATCCATGGTGAATGTTGATAAGCCGTTTAACTGGATCGTTGTTTCTCCTGTTTCCTCTGGCTTTAAACTGAGTCAGATTTGTGTTTTAGTCACTAGTAACACTATGTGGACGATTAGGGTTGCTAAATGCAATGATTCAGATGCAGTCTGAAGCCTATTAATGGTGTGAAGTGTGTGTGTGTGTGTGTGTTGTAAGGAAGAGTTGTGTGGCGTGAAACTGAAGATTGCGCTGTGTCTGGTGAGTAAGAACAGGTTATGTTTGTGTGTTTTGCGCTTAGTAGGAACGCACTCGTCGCGGTGTTGGGGGTTGCTATGGTTACAGTGGGTGTTCAGTTGTGTACCGAGTGAGGTGTGTGTGTGGTGTTTGATGCGTGTGTGTGTGTGTTTCAGGCTCAGCTGGCCGAGCTGGAGCAGAGTCACAGCACTAGCGAGCAGTCGGCCCGTGTGCGCGAGGACGAGAGACACCGCATCAGTCAGAGAGAGGCGGAGCGGACGCTAGCCGCGCGAGAGAGAGCGTACCGCCAGCGCGTCAGGGGTCTGGAGGAGCAGGTGTCCACGCTGAAGGAGCAGCTACAGCACGAGATCCGCCGCAGAACGCCCTCGCTAACGTGAGCCACATCAACGGCTGTTCCTCGAGATACATCACCTGCTTTAATGATCCCTTCATTTACTTTATAAACTAAAATAACTGGCTCATATAAAACGTCTTACTACACGCAGAAGGCCTTTATTAACCCCTGGAGCCCTATGGATTACTGTTAGGATGGATATGAGCATGCACTTTTCTGGGCTTTAAAATCTCAGGCACCAATATAAAGTTTGGAAGAGCCAGGATAGTTTTAATTAGTGCTGGGCAACGATTTATCGCTATTAATCACATCCAAAATAAATGTTTGTGTTTACATAATAGATGTGTGTATTGTGTATAATTATTTTGTATATATAAATACACACACATGCATGTATTTAGTTAAGTTTTATAAATATATATCAAATATTTATATATAATATAAATATACAGTATGCATGCATGTGTGTTATTTTAATACACAAATTAATTATACACAGTACACGTATATTATGTAAACACAAATTTTTATTTTGGATGCGATTATCACAATCTAATCGATTAATCGCTGTTTTCAATATAACTCTGATTGTGTTCGTCTGAAAGATTGTCATACACACCTGATGACTTCAGGGAGTAAATCATGAACTAATTTTCATTTATCTGTGAACTGTGCCTTTAAGGCCTGTTCACACCAAGGACGATAACTACAAAGAAAGAATAGCAGAGAGAAAAACACCTATGATAACGGCACATGAACGAATTTTTCAGCTGATGGACGATAAAAAAACATTGACAGCCAATCAGAATCCATCTCGAGCGTTTAAAGCGATCGTTCTTGGTGTGAACGGGCTTTTAGAGATATTGTGAGTTTTTGTTTTATTACAGAATACTGAAAGGGTGAATGTCATGAAACTTGTCTGGAAATGTCAGAGTAATATTTACCCCAAAACCAAAATGTTGTTTTGCTTAAAGCCCATTGTAGGACCAAGATTTGTTACATTGCACCCCTATTATTATGACAATTCATTATTTTATTCTCATAATTCTTTACTGTAATGCTAAATAGTTTTTTTAAGGAGGTAAATATATTACTGCCTAACGAATGAACGAAGCGCTCACATTCCCTGTAACACTGACACATACTCAACACAAATACTTGAATATTTTACTGTAATATGTATGGTTTATGTAAATGAGAATCTGTGAAGTTATCTCTGAGAACCGATTTTTTAAATACCATAACACAAACATGTTTATCATTTGTTATTCAGTTATTGCTATGTTTACCTCAACCGATTGTTGACAGTTTAGCTACTGATCATTTAATCTACTCACCCTAAATCTGAAATGTACATTTCACTTACGAGATAAAGTTGATCTGAAGAGTTGTCGTGTCCAGTTTCACAATGAGATTACCTTGTCATCGCAATAGTTCTGAAAGCGTTTTTCACAACGCGATTCTCTAAAAATGTATGGTCAATTTCAGTGCGAGTTCGGTCGCGCGCTTGACAGCGGCCGGCAGCGCGCACATAATAACGGACTCTGACAGGAATGGCGCGAATTACTAAGGTGAGACACTTTACGTCATATTTTTTCAATAATTATAATAATACATTTTAATGCCAGTCGCATTATGGTGCTTGGTAATTCAAAGGGAAAATAAGATAGTTCGGAATCACGACGACCCGTTCAGATCGACATATCGCGTTGAAGTTATTTTAAATGGCATTTTAACTGCTATTTTTCTTGGTCTTTTATGCGTGGAATAAATGTATTTTTGTTTTGCTAGAATGGATTTTATACGCATTAAAATGATTTTGTTTAAATGTGTAAGCCAGTCTATTCTTTAAAAACGTTTTCTGTATTCACGCTATTTACATGTAAAGTACAAAAATGTTTATTAATAAATTGCAAAACTTGGTTTGGAACAGGTAATATTACAGTAAACAGTGAGTATATTAAAGCTGAACCCTGACTGAATTCTTCAGATTAATGACAGATCCCAGCAAACTAAAATATCTAAAAACGTTAGCACAACGTTCCCATTAGCTAGAGAAACATTTCTGTTTTTATTGTGTTAAGGGAACATTCCATTGTATCGTTCTTCAAACATTATGGAAACGCTTTTGAATGTTCTCCGAACGTTCTGAAACAAGTAGTAACATTTAAAAAACTTTAACATTTCAGAAAAGAAACTTTCAACGAATGATGTATAAATACAGTTTTTGTGCTAATGTTTAGAGAACATAATTTAAGACCAGATAACTTTGAACAAAGTTCTATTAACGTTGCTGGAAGAACGTTTGTTCACAACTTTGAGGGAACCTTGCCAGAACGTTCCCTGTTAGCTGGGTTACAGGTTTAGGCTGTCAGGTGTGAAGGTTTGAGTCTGGGTTCAGTATAACTTACCCCAAGACAAAATAAACAAGTAAACAACAACAACAGCACTGGACGACAAACAGTAATAATACAAACGTGACACATCTCTGTTCTCCTGCACCAGTGTAACAGATAATAGCACCAGTGGCAACATACTGCCGAATGATCAATGACTACAGTAAATATCAGTTTACATGAGACCAGAACACATCAGATGCTGCCGGAGAATATGAAGAGGTCTGAAACACACTCTACGCAAGTACACAAACAATTGTTACGTTTTGCGTCAGAGCGCAAAACACAAGTGTTGCCACACGGGGGTGCTATAGTGGTCTTCTTCTATGGTCAGTTTTCTCTTTCAGCTGGAGAACCGTCGTCATGGAGAGACAGACTGAACAATCTTGCTGAGATGTTTACCGGAAACTGAGGTCATGTATGTACAACAGTTACGCGTGTTAGCATACTTGCGTAGAAGATGTTTTAGTCCTACAGCTGGAGTGAGTGCCAGCGTCTGATAGGCAGTACCAGGGCTTGTGTGTGTGTGTGTGTGTGTGTGTGTTTAACAGGATCCGCAGCTCTTGGCACAGCTGCCGCCCGTCGCCCCACACTGGCCACTGAGTGCAACTACACCACAGCGCG